CGACTCGTCGCGCTTCAGAGCCTTTGTTCTATCGTGGTACTTCTCGGATAGCGTCGGCTTTTCCACGTTTTCATCGTGCCTTGGCTCGCCGGGGCTCGACGGCTCCTTGGCCCCAGTCGATGCAGTAGAGGTCATGCTGCCGCGCTTCTGGCGCTCACGCTCATCCCTCAATTCGCCCTTTGAAATCAGCTTTCTTCTGGGTTTCACATTCTCGCCTTCGGAGGAAACGCCAGTGGCATCTGACTCAGTACGCTTCGTCTTGGGTGCTTTGTGGGAGGGTGCGGGAGATGCCTCGCGGTCCGAACCATTCGACGCCTTGACGTCGTCTCTCTTTGGCCGTGCTGTCCCTTTCTTTGCAGAAGCATTATCCTCGCCACCGTGGCCGAAAGAGTCGGACCTTCGTTTCTCCCGGGAGGCATCTGTCTTGAGGGCTGGCGTCTTCTTCGGCTCTCGAGCGGGACTAGCAGCGCTGCGTTTGGGCGGTCTCGAGTCTTCCTTGGCGTCCTCCCTCTTGTTTCGCTTTTCCTCCCGCTGTCTCTCTCTGTCTCTCCGTGCGGGCGACTTGGCCCTGGCAGAGTCCTTGTGTGTCCGCTTGTATTCGTCGTAGGCGTTCTTCAACATGTGTTCCTCTTCCTTCCAGTTGGAGCCCTGTCGCCGACGGGCAATTTCATAGTACGTCTCACCGTTGAACTTGCGCGTGGGGTCAAAGTTCTGCTGCTCCAGGAGCAGCTCGACAACCTTGATGTTCTCCTGGCCAATAGCCGCGAGCATTGGGGTAGCAAACTCCGCTGGGAGCGTCTTTACCGGGGGAGGATCAGCACTGGCACCTCCCAGGCCCAGCAGCAATTGAATCACCAGGTCATGGCCACCTCGTGCGGCCGCAACCATGGATTCGGGGTCATCAAAGCCTTCCTTGACCTGCAGGATCCGAGCAACGGTTTCCTCGTCGCCCCGCCCGGCGGCCTGGCGTAGGGTTTTGTCGTCCAAAGGCATGTAGAGCAAGTCGTTCCTCGTCTTGGTAGAGCGAACGGTGCCAGATCTCCGACCTGTCGACGACATTGTTGCGGCTGGAGAGCGTCGTGGACTGTCGGGTGCGTGCGAGTCTCGGGGGTCGTGATAGTCGTGGGAGTGGCGGTCCTCGGAAGTACGGCGACGTTCGCCCTGTCGCTTTTTAGCTGCGAGAAGCAGCTCGCGGATTTCGTCCCCATTCTCGGTGTCTTCTGTAACTCTATCTATCGGCTCCTCCCCGTTCACATTAGCTTTGCGCGGGTTGACGCCAGCATCCAGAAGCAGTTTGACCACACCGACGTGGCCATTGTCGACCGCATCCAAAAGCGGCGTGTCCTTATCGTAGTTGACGCAGTCGAGGTTGCAGCCGGCGTCGATGAGGAGCTTGACAATGTCTTCGCAACCATTGATTGCGGCAATCTGGAGCGGCGTATTCCCGGCGTAGTCAGCCACGTTGAGGTCCTCGGGCCGATCTGTCAGCCTTCGCTTTGCACTCTCGTACTCGCCACGTGCGCAGGCGCGGGCGAGCAGAGTCTGGCCGTGGGCGTCGAGGTGCTTCTTGTGAGGGGCCATCTTGACGGGCGAAGCATGGGCCTCGGGCACCGTCGGGGTGGCGAGGCCTCGCAGCTTGGAGCTACGCGGATGGGGGCTCAGGCTGGCCGAGGATTCGTCGGAATGGTAGTCGGCAGCGTGGAGGGGAGGGGGTAACCGCTTCTTCTTGAGGCTGCTGCTGGAAAGATGATGGGCGGGCAACTGCGTCGATACGCTTCTACGATGCTGCCGGGGGTGGGGGGAGATGGAGCGTGTCCGGGTCCTGGGATCATGCTGTGACTGCTTGGAGGCCGTCTTGGGCTCCTTGGGCGCCCGCCCGTTGTCGAGGGTGGCGCTCGTGGTTCGCTGGCGGCGAGCCTTTCGCTGGTCGGCCTCGTCGTCGGACTCGGCCTTGGGAGCCTTTCGCTTGTGCGGCAGCAGACGCTCGCCTGACTTGAGCTTGTCACGCAGAGACGAGGAGACGGGCTTGTTGGCGTGGGCGCCCTCAGAGTCGGAGGGGGAAGCGGCAGCCACGGCGTCGGATCGCCGACGGCGGTGAGATGGAAGCGGATGCTGTTGACGGTGCTGGCTGAGATTGTGGGGAGGCGAGGTCGGGGCAGAACTCAGGCCGCTGGAGGCGCCGTCCTTGCTGCGAGGCTGGCGGTCCTTGTCTGCAGGCCCCGGCAGCCGTTTCTTGACACCCTCGACGGGCCGCCCGCCAGCTGCATTCTTGTCCCCCTGGTTACCGCTGGCCGCCGGCTGGCCGTTGCCTCTGGCCGAGTCGGCGTCGCTCTCGCTCCTGTCCTCCTGCCTCACCTTGCGGACCTTGGAGGGCGAATGGCCATCCTTGCCCGGCAGGACAATCGTCTCGGCGTCCGAGTCGCGGTCGGCGACTGGAGCATCGTCGGTTCGGGCCGCCGTGGACAAGAGCGACGACGGCTCCTTGGCCTTGGGCCTGGCGGGCGACGAGGCCCTCACAGAAGAGCGCGCCTTCGGATCCGAGTCGGAGGCTGAGCCTCGTCGCGGGCGCTCGTGTTTGTTTTGCTGCTGCTGAGGGGAAGCGCCAGCATGCTTGGGCGTGTCGGACTCGGCAGCATTCTGCGCGTCCATGACATTTATCTTCGAGAATTGCCGGCGGCTACCACCATCATGGAGATTAGAAGACGAGTTTCGGCCGCGAGCGAGCCGGACGAAGAGAGGCCGATTGATCTGGTCACGTCGACCGCCACGTCAGAGCTTGCTGGCAATGGGCACACAGTAGGTTGGTAGTAGTAGTAAGTAGCAATGGCCTCTGCGGAGATGGGGATGGACAGCAGCCGGGGGGGTTTTTTGCTGGTGGTTTTTAGGCACGACAACAGCTGGCAGAGTGGCAAAGCCGGCACGGAAGCGGCCGCCTCAGGGAATAAACAAAAGAGATGGGAGAAAGGGGAGACGCCTGGAGGAAAGGATGATGAGTATCTGCTACAGCGCTGGCCAAAGGGGGGGCCCAAGGGGACAGAACAGGCGGCGTGGGCGACAAAGTCGATGCTGTATATTTTTTTTTCTCCCCTACCACGGTCGGATGTCGAGAGAATTGAGCAGAAAGACTGGAGTTCAATCTCGAAATCGAATCGAAAGCGTGTTCACCGTAGTGCTGCTGCCCAGGGCACGGAGTACCTCGTACCTCTTGCTACTGGCAGAGAGGCCTGTACCAGCAGCTGCTAGCGGGACTCGAGAGAGCTGGGAGACGCAGCAGAAGCAGAAACTGCCGGGGGGGGTCGCAGGCGGTAGCGCAGGAGGTACAGGTGAGCTGCGGTGCCACCGGCGGGGGCGGCGCTGCAAGGTACTGGATACGGGAGCCACTACTGAGATTTGCCTCGGGCCTCGCACGAAGCCGGCAGAGGGAAAAAGGTGAAGCAAGAGTCGATTACGGGATGGAGTCTGCGCGTGCCGACTGGAGCCAGGCAAGACAAGAGGAGCAGCACATGCAGGCTAAGAGGCGGCCAGACATCAATGGAACAGGAGAGCAGGCACTGAAAGAGACGACAGCAAAGCACCCGACGAGCTAGGAATACTTTGGTACTAGCAGCTGGTACTATCTGATCTCCCGGTTGTACTAAGCAACTCAAGTACACACGCACACAACAGCCAGATTGCCAGACAACTCTGCAGGCCAAGGCAAACCCACGCATCCATATTACTTCATACATAGTAATACCATCATCGTAGTAATACCTACTACCGTCCGCTGGATCAGCACAAGTGCGCTAAAAGCAGCCTGAAAACGGGACTCGGATTCGAAACTCAGCCCAGCAGCCAGGCTCGGCTGCCGCGCGCTGATTGGCCCGCCGCCGTCAGCCGCTCCAGCCGGCGCAGCGCCTCCGCGGTGCAAGTTGTGCGGCCGAAACAGCGGAGTCGCAGCCTAAACCACGCTGGCGAGTAGCTGCCATCCCGCGTTGCCACCCCTCAACTTCAGGCGGCCCCCCCCCCAAATTGGCCCCCCAACCCCCCCCAAAAAAGGGCCCTCAGGCGTGATGTGGTGCTGCAGCCAGCAGGGCCCTTGCACGCTTCCCACCAATCACCGCCACGGGCGGCTCCGGCAGTGCTGGGAGGCATCTCGGGTTGTCTGGGCTTGAAATACGGACGGTCTCGCCTGTGTTCCGCGGCCAGGAGATGGTAGAGAAGAGAAGAGAGAAGAGAGGCGGAGGCGGAAAGAGGGAATATTAAGAGAGAGAGAGAGAGAGATGAGAGAGAGAGAGAGACGACATCGAATCCTTGCCGCCACTCGATATCCACGCATGCACGCGTCCGACCGCGCTGTGCCGTGCTGCCACGCGCTGTTTTCCTCGTCTGTGCGACCTGCAGCATCGGTCGCCGTCCTTCTCACTCAATCAATGAATCAATAAATCATCATTCGCCATGATTCAGTCCATTCAATCCATCCATCGATGACCCGGTCAGGCCTGGCCCAGTCCGCCTCCCGCAGACGGCAGAGACACGACGCCTCCCCCCTTTCGAGCAACAAGCAGCTGGACCGACCAGACGCTGCACGCCGATAACGAGGCCACCGACCGAACAGCTCGCGCAGCACATGCGCCATGCAACCTTGGTAGGACAAAAGGCATTAATGCCCGGCTAGCCCTAACCGGCACCTCGCTGTTCAAGTCGTGCTGCTGCGAGAGCAAACAGGCGCTGCAGCCCCCCTCCTAACTCGATACGGCCATTCGCTGGATCATCACCCCATCATCCCCCTCTTACGACCATTTGATCGCTTCTTCTCTCGCAATCCGTCCGCCCTCTCGACCCCCCATCTGATTCCGAGCCAGGCTGCCTTCTCGCTCACTGGTGGGCTCACTCTTGGCGCTGTCAAGGCAGCTCTCCTCCTGCAACTCACTGCAGCTGTCTGTCTGTCTGTCTGTCTGCCTGCCTGCCTGCCTGCCTGCCCGAGCCGTGCATAGATACCTACCTACATACCTTCAATCATGGCAGCTCGAGGCACCGGCGACGCGTGGCTGCCCTCGTCTCTCGAAGCCGCCCGAATCGCCTCGCTGCCCTCGACGGCCTACTACTTGCCAAACTTCATCAGCGAGGAAGAGGAGCGCCTGATTCTTGACAAAGTGCGTCTTGCCGCCGTGGCCGGTGCCGTCCATGGTGCCGGTCGTCTCCGCCTGCAGCCCTGCTGATCACAGCACACGCTTTTTTTTTTCCTCACAGATCGCCGCGGCTCCTCGTCCACGATGGAAACAGCTCACCCATCGACGGCTCCAGACCTGGCCGTCGGACCTCGTCAACAACAGGCTCCTCGACGCACCGCTGCCCTCTTGGCTTGAGACCCCCATTGTGCCGCGGCTACTGTCCCTTCCGCTCTCCGACGACGGTGACTCTCCCAAGCACATCTTCGCCGAAAGCCCCCACCAGCGCCCGAATCACGTCCTTATCAACGAGTATCCTCCGGGAATCGGCATCATGCCGCATAAGTTAAGTGTTATGGAAACGTAGTTGAAGAATCCTTGACAGCTTCGAAATGCTCATCCACCCTAGGATGGCGCTGCGTATTGGCCCGTGGTGTGCACCGTCAGCCTCGGCGCGAGTCTCTGCCTGAACCTGTACCGCAGCAAGGAGGACGGCGCCCTTGATCCCGAGCCTGCCTGGCGCATTCTCCAAGAACCTCGTAGTCTTCTCATCACCACAGCCAACCTCTATACGGACTATCTGCATGGCATCGCCGACGCTGAGGAGGATCTTGATCTATCTGCCGACACCATTGTGAACTGGCCCTTGCTTCGAGATCCCGAGGCGTTTGCTGGCGGTCGGAACCCGAGACAGACCCGCACCAGCCTCACATACCGAGACGTCCTCCAAGTGTCCAAAGTCGGAGCCAAATTAGGCCTCTTCGGCAAGCGATGAGAGCGTGCTCTAACCCGTTTTCCCGAATTGCTCAGTAGCTTATTAGAATACAAAGGGAATCATGATCCATTTCCCCTCCACCTTGTCCGCCCCGAACTTTTCGGCATACCAAATCTTGGTGCCGTATGCCGTTGAGCCGACATTGGCCAGGACAAACGTCAATGAGCACAGGATGGATCCGTTCACCCAGCATCCTGTCGGCGCCGCAACAACGGCAAGGCTCAAGTAGAGGAGGCATTCGAATGTGTAGTGGGGGCAGACGAAGTACTTGAACCAGCCCTCGCTCGGGAGCGTGTACTTCTTGAGCCCTGCCAGATACCTGTGGCATTCATTTTGCTGGGCGCCTGCGAATCCAAAGACTGCCGCCCCGATAATGATTTGTGGCGTGAAGTGGATGGGCTGCGGGGACTCCCACGACCGAAGAATTGCTCCTGTGAACTCACGTCAGCGTCACGACCAAGACAGCCACGAAACTAGACTCTTTTGTTAATAGCCGTGTGAGACGAACCTGAGCCTTGAATCCAGACAGAGATCCCCAGGGTTGTGTAATAGGCCAATCCGAGAACCCAATGGACAAACCACATGGGCGATGACCCAGGCTTGGTGACAAAGAGACACTCAAACAGTCTTCTCGCTCCCTGCGAGCTCATCAAGAGCCACGCGACCAGCGTTGCTGTGAGCTCGACCTCCGACGATGGCTCATTCCCCGCAGCTCTGTGCTGCCTCTCGGCCAGGGCCCGCATCACCGATCCCTTGGACACGAACTGCCAGCCCCAGAAGATGGACCACGACACGGACGTGATGTAGAAGTGTATGAACCACGAGTGCGGCACCTGGCCATAGCTCGTCAAGACGTCGAAGAAGCCTTCCTTGGGTACCTCGGCCTGACCCTTTTTTGCGGAAGCCTGGCGGGACGTGGCTCTTCTGGCGCCGTAGTCCATCAACGCCCGACGCATGTCGTCCGGGAGAGCTTGCAGCATCAGGATGAAGCCAGCGTTGGCGACGAAGAAGATTTGGCACCATTCTGCCGGCGTCAGGTCGCTCACGTTGAGCATGGCCAGCAGATTCGATATGCCATCCATGTTGTGAATTCAAGCGGCTGGCGTGATGCGGCGAGGCAAGGTTCAGCCAGGCCACAAGAACAAGACCTTAGAGATTGAGGGGCCAGATAAAGTGAATGGGAGAAAATGACTCAGGAAGGGATGAAAGGGCAGACATTCGTTGCGCTGGTTGAAAGCTGCCGAATTGCACTGCCAAAGCCAGGCGTGGAGTGATATGCCCCTACCAAGGAGAAGCACAATTGTGCGAAATTTGGTCGCCTGCATGCTGAGCCGCCGCTCTTGTGGTCCCAAAATCGGCACATTGCTCCGTCCCTTGAACCAACGACTCTCGGTGCATTTACTTGATTGCCGGCCATTGCAGCAGATATGGAGTGCGGAGAAACTTCTCTGCAGCTCGCATAGATCCTACTACCAGAACATGGCTTCAATGAAATCATGGATTGCCACTGGAAGGAGAGAGAATGCGTATTTGCTTGCTTTTTGAACTTGTGACTGAGGCTCTTGGCAACCAGCAATACGATACACGGCTTGACGGCCAATCCGTAGTCTAATTGACGCTGAGGTGGCGTTGCACTGCTGTGGGGTTTTGATTGGGCGGTGGATTCGTCGTATTGGCGCTTGCTTCACAGCAACTTCAAGTTCCATGTTGCAGTTGGGATTTGATGGCTTGAGAAGAGCTGGGAGACAAGGAGGATGAGAGGGCTTGGTTCCACGAGGAGGGACTTGGTATGAGGCGATGCAGGATTGACCGACGGATGCAAAGGATGTATGGACCAGTGTTGCAGCATGAAGACGTTGTTCGTACAGTGCTGAACCGAGTGGACGGTATAAGAGACCGAATTCCAACAGAATAGTAGCACACAAGCTCGTGATAGTATCTGCAACTCCATCAAGAGGTAGTACAGCATTTGAACCCGATGACTCACCTTCTTCCTCGTGAAATCCCTTACGCTGGGTAGGTACTACTGACGAAATATGTCTTGCCTATTCACAGGTCGGCAAGTGCGACCAATGTCTCAAGCAAGTTGCCCCGATAACATCAACCAAGCGAAGGCAACAGCAAGGCGCATGCTTCAAGCTTCTTTCCCAGCCATGCCCAGGTGCTGCCTTCCGCTTTGCAAGTCGTTGGCTTATAGCTAAGGCACGTGCACAAAAAGGTCTAGAACCGATTCAAGGAATCCTGCCGTCATGATCCATCTGGCGGTTGCCAATCCTTGGTGCTAGGCGAAGCATGGATGCTCCTGCCCGCCCGAGTGGCATGACAACGACGGCAGGTGTAACCAGGCATGAATATTCCTCAACATTTCGAGATCTCACATCTCATTTTCGTAATATCTCCAAGGCTCAATTGCAAAAGATTATGAAATTTGGACGTCTATCATGTTCGCAAATCAACCATTAAACATCTTTCTGTTACAAACTTGAATTCCTTCTTTTTCCATGATACTCGAAATCCTCACACACCGAAAACTCTCTCCATCTTCATGCCTCACCAGGCTTTTCCGTCCCAAAAAAAACTTCCTCCTTAGCAGGTCCAGCACGAGCACTGCTTCTTGGGTTTGACGTCTTTGTTCGCGTCCAGGCAGTCCTGGTATTGAGCCGAGCACTTCTTGGCTGCGTTGGAAGGAGAATTGTCGCCAAAGCCCCAGTCCTGCGTGAACTGGCTGGTGCTGAGGAAGTGATTCGCCTCATTGCCGCGCTTCCACCGGCCATTGGTGCCCTCCTGGCAGCCCTTCTGGTACACGTCTGTGCACTGCTTGAACTGCTCCTTGCAGGCATCCGCGCAAGCATCGCCGCAGGCAGACCGAGGATAGGTTGGGCAGTTGAGGCTGTCCTGGTCAATGTACAGCTTGAAGGGGTTCTCGCGCCAGTCGCTGTACATGTCATTGCAGCTGACAATGGGCAGATCGATGCCACCGACGGGCTTGCCTGGTCCATAGCCGTACTTGGCGTTTGTGGGCTGCGTGCAGATGTTGGTGGTAGGAGGAGGGCACTGGCTGGGCTTCGTCGTGGTGTTCGGGAGCTTGGTTGCTGTGCTGGGAGGGCAGGGAACGACAGTGGTGGTCGTCTCGAGAGGACCGACTCCCTGGCCGGGGTTGCTGCTCCAGAAGTCGACCTTGGAGCACTTGTTGTACTTGCACGTTGAGCTGCAATACCTATCAATGTTGCCACACCACAAGGCAAAATTGAAGCACTGGAGAACGTCGGGGAAATCGGCGTGGGCGAAGCAAGAAGCCACACTCGCGGCACAAGTGGCGTAGGCCTTCGAGCACTCCTTTTCGGTCCTCCAGTCAGGCAGAGGAGAGAGGCACCAGTTGCCGCACTTGTATTCGCAGGTGGAAGGACTTATGACGGTGGTCGTGCACACAGAACTGCCATCCGTCGTTGTATGAGGATGGGGGTGCTTGTAAGTGGTTGGCCAAGTGCCCTTGCCGGTTGTGGTGGTCGTGGTCGTGGTCGTTGTCGTGGTTGTCGGGCTGGTTGTTGTCGTGGTCGTGGTTGTGGTTGTGGTTGTCGGGCTGGTTGTGGTTGTTGTTGTCGTCGTCGTTGTGGTACTTGGGCTAGTTGTGGTTGTGGTTGTGGTCGTGGTGGTCGGGCTAGTCGTGGTTACTGTGCTCGGGCTCGCAGTTGTGGTCGTGGTCACTGTGCTCGGGCTTGCGGTGGTGGTAGTGGTGACCGTGCTCGGGCTCGCAGTAGTGGTTGTTGTGACCGTGGTTGGGCTGGTCGTTGTGGTTGTAGTCGGGCTTGTGGTCGTGGTGGTGGTCGTGGTGGTAGTAGGGCTTGTGGTGGTCGTTGTGGTTGGGCTAGTAGTTGTCGTTGTGGTTGGGCTGGTAGTGGTCGTAGTAGTGGTAGTGGTAGTAGGGCTCGTGGTTGTGGTTGTGGTTGTGGTTGTGGTCGGGCTCGTGGTAGTCGTAGTAGTGGAAGTTGTTGTGGTGGTTGGGCTGGTGGTTGTGGTTGTAGATAGGCTGGTTGTGGTAGTTGTTGTAGTGGTCGGACTAGTAGTGGTTGTTGTTGTCGTCGTTGTGCTCAGGCTTGTAGTGGTGGTAACTGTGGTAGTGGTAGTAGTGGTTGGGCTGGTTGTCGTGGTTGTAGTTGGGCTAGTTGTTGTGGTAGTAGTTGTAGTTGGGCTAGTTGTCGTTGTTGTCGTTGTGCTCAGGCTTGTAGTGGTGGTGATTGTGGTAGTGGTTGTAGTGGTTGGGCTTGTGGTGGTAGTTGTAGTTAGGCTGGTCGTAGTTGTGGTTGTTGTAGTCGGGCTTGTGGTGGTGGTAGTTGTGGTAGTTGTAGTCGGGCTAGTTGTTGTTGTAGTTGTAGTTGTAGTGGTCGGGCTTGTGGTAACAGAAGTTGTAGTTGTTGTTGTGGTAGTTGGGCTAGTTGTGGTGGTTGTCGTCGTGGTAGGGCTTGTGGTGGTAGTTGTAGTTGGGCTAGTTGTGGTTGTGGTTGTTGTAGTTGGGCTAGTTGTGGTTGTCGTTGTAGTAGTTGGGCTGGTGGTGGTTGTTGTTGTAGTAGTTGGGCTGGTGGTCGTGGTTGTAGTTGTGGTTGGACTAGTCGTGGTTGTGGTTGTGGTGGTAGGACTAGTTGTTGTGGTTGTTGTTGTGGTTGTGGTTGGACTGGTGGTAGTTGTAGTCGTGGTAGTCGGACTGGTGGTAGTCGTTGTTGTTGTGGTTGTGGTTGGGCTGGTTGTCGTTGTGGTAGTTGTTGTAGTGGTTGGACTAGTGGTTGTCGTCGTCGTCGTAGTTGTCGTTGTGGTCGGGCTAGTTGTGGTTGTGGTTGTCGTCGTGGTCGTCCGACTGGTCGTGGTCGTAGTTGTGGTGGTCGTGGTCGTGGTCGTGTTCCCGTTGGGAGTCACAGGATTGGCCGCGGAGCCGCAAGGCTGCTGAGACTGCAAGACCGCGGCGAGGTACACATTCAGACGACTTCCGCCGCCGCATATCTGGGTCGTGTTTCCGTTGCAGGGGACATTGCACTGCGAATTGTCCACCTTGGCATTGCCGAACGCGAGCACGTTGCCGCACCAGCACTCACCTCCGTACTCGGTACCGGCCAGGGGGAAGCCTTCTCTCAGACAGGCAGTCTGACAGGCTTCGGTGGTGAGGTTGGCAGAGGGGATGGAAGCGGCCCAGGAAAGGGCACGACCCTGTGTCGAGTTGTCAGTGTAGCAGCCCAGAGCCTGGTAGTCAGCAAGGGTGGCGGCCCTGGTTGGAAACGTCGGATCCTGCCAGATGGAGAGCATGTTGTTCCCTCCACAAGTCTCGAGAATGTTACCGTTGCAAGGGAATGTGCAGGAACCGTTGGCGAGCTGGGGACCGTCTATGGTGTTGCCGCAGTAGCAGTTGCCATAGTACTCGAGGCCGGCATATCGAAAGGCGTTGCCTACGAAAGGACAGAAGAGTGTCAGTTCCATCATCGAAGAGAACAAGCCTTACAATAAAGAGAGAGAGAGAGAGAGAGAGAGAGAGAGAGAGAGAGAGAGAGGAGAGGCAACAGCCTAAGAGGCAGACGGTCAGTCACCTTTGCATTCGGCGGCGCAAATCTCAACCGTCATGTTGTTAGAGGGCAACGATGAGCGGAAGATGAGAGTGCCGGGGGTGCCCGGGACACCATCTTGGTAACAGCCAGTGTAGACAAAGGGCGTGAAGGCCGACGTGCAAGGAGGCAGCTCGACGTTCCAAGCCTGCGTGACGCTGACGAGAGAGAGCGTGGCGACTGCGGCCACGAGGGACCGGAAGACGGCCATTGTCATGGCGAAGTTCCTTGGGCAGAGACGGCTGGATGAGACTTGAAGTCACAGACAACTGGGGGGGTGGTGTGGACCGAATAGTCTCTTGATCAGGGTTGCTGAGCCAGCCGGGAACTGCTTGTGATGGACAAGAGATCTCCAGCATCATGACGATGAGGCCCACGAGTTATATACACATGATCAAAGCTTACACTTGCTAACTACGGATGATAGCATGAGTCGACATGCAAACACCAACCCAACTCAACCCTTTGCCATTCCCCCCTCGGACGCTGTTGGATGCAGCTGCATGCTGTTGGGACGATGTTGGACGCTGTCGATTTCAAACGACTGTTGGATATACAGGTCACTCACGATCCGGAGCATCATCAAATCAGATCGCAGGGGTGTTGCAATAGAGTAGTAGTATCTGCAAAGACGTAGCAGATCGGGCTGAAGGTGTGTGTCCGGACCCCTGTCGGTTGGCCATCCCTTGTCTCGCCTGTCGGGGAGCCTCAAGCGACGTCGAAAGGAAGAATGCTCGTATTGCATACCAATTCCTTCTCTCCCTTCATACCGATTTCCCAACTCCAGGTTGGTCCGGCTTTGAATACCACCAGCCAACCGATCATTAGCTCCAGGAACGCAGATATCGACAGAGTGAAAAAAAATAACGTGGAACCTTGAATATCGAGAGACGGCTTCCACGTCAGCAGTTGGATGAAGGCCAGAGGTTACTACAGCCCTTGACGACTATCTTTCGCCGTTGGTTGCAGGATATTGGAACGGGGAGCTATACGACGACGCTCTCAAGGACGATCTCAAGGCCGAGGCCGACGTTTGTTCAAGCTGCGTCGAGGCATACAGTGGTTTACATATTGTCGTCCTGCAAGGTGTCAATAGTGTTGAGCACAGAGGCAATCCTGGGAAGTTTGTCGCTTCGGTGAGAACGAGACGGAACGGAAGGGCTACGATTCAGCTACTCGAAGTGCGGCTGGCGACATGCAACACAACCGGAGGCGAAAACAATAGGCTCATTAACGGTAGGTAGGGTTGGGTGTGCCGCCGCCAGGACATACTATTCCCCCTGTGCCTGACGCATGATATCAGTTCGCCCGGACCATGGCAGGGAGCGACATGCAAAGGGTCCTCATCCTCAGCTGGACAATGGTATCAGTATTCTGATCCTGACTATACCAGAAATCGTGGAGAGTGTCTACGACTGTGCATCTGAAGGCCTCGTCACAAGGTAACCTACATAGCTGTTCCATACCGGGGATATATGATACTGCATTACCACTGGGACAGTATCCGGTTCTAGTCGGGTATGAGACTGCCAACCAGTGCTTCGTACCTACGTTGATGTATTCTTGCTGTCAGAGTGGGCAGTTGAATGCTACCCTGATAATGCAAGTTATCCGGGAAATGACATCGAATAATGGCTCCGTTATTTGCATGGACTCTAGGAGTACGACTATGCTATTATACCTATGAACAGAAATGTACAGGCGAACTTGGCGGCGTATAAGTCGGGGTACAGCATGACTGGGCGGAATCCAAACATTAGACGCTTACGAGTCCATCTTTACATAGATACAGGAAGTGTTCTAGAACTTCTCAGCCTCTCGCAATGCTCCGACGTTTGATTCCATTCTGGGGCTCCCGACGGAGTGCCCTCGCAATTGATCGCCAGACTCAGCTGCTCAGCGCGTCCAGGGGGTGTTATAGTGGTTGCTACATGTACGCAGCACACGACAATGCTGTTTGTTTGCGCACGCTCGCAATAGCGCGGGAGGACCCCATGTTGGATATTGGTGCCATGGTTGAGTTCAGCTCTTGGACAGGGGCATTGGGGGCTTATTCTCGAAACAGCGAGATGGGCAAACTATGCGTGTATCTTGATGGGAATTGCTTCCAGAGGTTGGATGTCGCCATGCACCACGCGCATTGACATATTGGATGACTCGTAGGTCGTGGTGAGAGAGAAGACGACCAAGGACGAGAAGAATCAACATTGATCAAGTCCACCACGACGGACTCAGACCTATTTGGATCATCACAGAAAGATAGCTTTTCTACTTCCCTTTAAGCGTCAATGTTCATCGTGAATGATTCATTGCCAGCCTGCAGTCGGCAAGTTCGTGTCAATGTCCTCCGGCCAATATGATACGGTGTAGGGTAGCATCTCAAAGAACAAAGGTTGCTACGTAAAGGGACAGAATGCGGCTATCAGGGTGAACCAGCCAAGAGGGAAATAAGACCAGAAGATTTTCTCCCTTTGCCAGTTCCTCATCTTGGATCCTAACGCATTTTCTTTTGTAACTTATCTTTCTTTTCTTCTGGCATCATTCTACGGTAGAATGCACGGGATGCCTTTCACAACATTTGTACCTGAGGCAGCTGAAATACCCCTCCCTCTCCCTCACACCCTCTATTTGCTGTCCCGTGGCAGCAATGGCCCAGCGATGCGGTGCGTAGAGAGCCCCTTTAACCTCCCACACGCTTGTATGTTGGCCCATCAAGACAGGAAAGGATCTCCCTCCCTGTACACGCCCGTTTGTGCCTTTCTTGAACAGCAAACGGGGCGTTGTAGGTCATTATCATTGTCTTACGCCGCGATCATCAATTTCTTCGGCTTTTTTGCTGTCAAGTGTGCGTATGCAATGTGTAACAAGCACTTTACTTGACCATTCTCATAAACTTCAGGGCCTCATATCTGCCTACCTAGATGTGGTACGTCGAAGGAAAAAATACCTGCTTCTAGTCCGGCGAGTTGTTAGTAATGATGAGAAGCAAGGGCAGATGTATGTTGGGCTAGTTGTCATGACCACCTTGCCTGTAAAAGATTCGGGTCCCCCATTCTTCACATGTGCAGAGCGTGTCAATGAGTGCATTGATTGACATCAAGAGTTCCGACAAGTCATCTCTCAGCTTTCATTCATCAGTCATCAGTCATCAAGGTATGAACAACAAGCGACTATCCACTGCCTGATATGTGGCAATACGTCTATAACATTGGCCTCATAACCATCAAGAGATACCGACCACGACAAATCTTCAGCTATAGCATACAAAGAAACAAGAATATATAAAGTAAAAAGTAAAAGGGGGAAGAGATATGGGAGCGCCTCATGTGCGTTTTTCATCTTCTTCTTCCATTCTGATAGGTGCTCGTACCTCAGAGGACGGCGAGATTAATGCTGAGCTCTAGAGTACATTTCAATGGGCAAAAACCATACAATGGTTGTCCCCCTTCCAACCTCTCGAATTGTTTTCGTGTTTTGGTCTTTCCCCCCTTAAACGCCGGTGCAAAACTTGTAGCCAGGACTATCCATGCCGATTCTCATTCCCTTCATGACTTGTTCCTCAGATGAGGAGGAACCCACTTGCCAGCGGTTCGAGGAGGCAGAGACTCTGCGGGAGGGGCAGAAGCCTCGGCCTTGCCGTTCTCGCCGCGCCTTGAGCCGCTTCGCTCAAGAGGCTCGCGAGGCTCGCGAGGCTCACGAGAATCGCGACCAAAGCTGCGAGACTCGCGGGGAGATTCCCGGGGAGCGTCACGAGGTCCGGCGCTTCGGGTGGGCGGGGGCAGGTTGTCGCTGGCACCGCCACCAGCAGCCTTGGCGGCTTCTCGCTCTCGCCAGCTAGGCTTGTTGCCAGAGCCAGCCAGCTGCAGCTTGGGCGGGCCAGAGGGGCGATCGCCAGAGTCGGTGCGCTCCATCGGGGGTCCTGACCGCACAGGGATACCGCCCTCGGCAGCTCCCTTGGCCTCCCTCTCACGCTCCCTATCTCTCCAGCTGCCCGAACCGATGACGGGTGGTCGTCGGCCATCCGCGGCGGCGGCGGCAGCAGGGGGGGCCGCCTCCGGTCCCCTGAGGCCTCCACGTTCCTTCTCTGCTTTGCGGCGAGCAAGGGCTTCCTCCTCGCGCCTCTGCTGAAGAGCTGCCTTCTCCAGCATCTCCTGGCGCTCCTTCTCGCGCTGCTCCTTGAGCTTGAGAAGCTCAGCCTTCCTGGCCTCCTCACGGAGGCGCTGCTCCTCCTTCTCACGAGCAGCCTGCTCTTCCTGCTCTCGGAGGATGCGCTCTCTCTCTTCGCGCTCCCTCTTCTCGCGCAACTTGCGGTCGCGGTACTCCTTCTTGCGGATAGCGATCTGCTTCTCCAGCTCGCGCTCGGCCTCCTTGCGGCGTTTCTCGAACTCGTCGCGGCGCTTCTCGTGCAAGTTGGCCCTGAACTTCTCGTACTCGGGTACCAGGCGTTCAAGGCGATGCTTGAGCTCCACGCTGGCCTTGTGCTTCTCCTCGGCCTCCTTGAGCGTCTTGGCCTTGACCATCTCATAGATCTTGCGGTCACGCTCTGTCTGCTTGGCATAGTCCTCGGCCAGCTTCTTAGCCTCCTCCTTTCGGTAAGCTCGTTCCAAGTGGTCGAGTCGCTTGCCAGTGATGCGCAGCTTCTCGTTGACATCGTTCTTCTCACGCTCCAACTGAGCCAGCTTCATGGCACGAAGTCTGTTGCTGTCCAGGTTGTCCAGATCTTCCAGATCAATGTCCAGAGCCTTGTCGCTCATCTTGAGATCGGCAATCTGCTTCTTGAGCTCCTCCTTGCGGACGCGATCGTGCTCAGCCTTGATGCGCCGGGCCTCACGCTCACGCTGCTCCTCAGCCAGACGCTTGTCCTCGGCTTCCTGGAGAGCCTGCTCCATCAATCTCTTCTGGCGCGCCTTCTCCTTCTCCCTCTTGGCTTGCAGTTCAGATGCCTCCTCCTTGCGCTTCTGGATAATCTCCTTGCGGGCAAGGGTCTCGAGGTGCTCCTTCTCAGCACCAGCCCTGGCGCGGGCCAGTGCAGCGTCATGGGCCGCCAGACGATCTTTGTTAAAGTTGGGGTCAATGTAGTGGCATGAGACGAAGAGCGACTTGGCGAGACGAGTCAGCTGGGAGCGGACAATCTCAGAGGGAGTGCTCTGGAGACGCTGCACGCTACCAGCCTCAGCCTCGGCAGAGCCGGCGGACGAACCGCTGTGGCCAGCCCTGGCTGATGAGAAGACGTCGTTGTCGAAGCTCAGAACACCGGTAGCATGGTCCATGCGAATGGCAAGGTCACCCTTCTTGTTGCCGTTCATGATGAACTTCTCAATGGTACCGCGAGTGACCTGGTAGGGCTCGGGGAACTGAGCCAGGCTCTCAACGAAGCTGAGGTCCACAGTTTCGTAGACCTGAGACAGCTGCTGGAACAGGCGGGTCAGGATAACCTGCTGCAGGGGAAGGATGTATTTCTCCATCTCGGCATCGGCGGCAATCTTGGTCAGGATGGGCGAAATCTTCTTGCAGATGAAGAGGGGGTGGAAGTCAACCTCCAGGATGTTGTAGAGGTCTCGGATCTCGGGGAGGGATCGCTGAATGATGGACTTGGAGAGAGCGTCACGGAACAGGCGAGAACGCGAGGGGGCCTGGCTCATGCCGAGCAGGGTGGTCAGGCGGGTGTTCTTGTTCTTGCGGGCCTCGTCAAAGTCGACCATGGCACCACGGGATCGGGAGGTGCTGATGACAGGGATGGCGAGGGCAGACAAGAGGACAAAGGAAGCAGCCCGCTGGAGGTCGGCATCAGAGGCGGGGGGGTTGTCAGCCTTCTTGCCCTGGCCGGAGGCGACCAAGGCGGAGACCTGGCGCAGCAGTGTGTAGTATCTTGACCAAGCCGCGGCGTGGAAGAGGTAGTTCTCGCCGACGAGGAAGATTTTTGTCAGCTTCTCGTAGTAGTTGGCCATCATGATGTTTTTGGGGGGTCGCTTGCTGAGGTTCAGCAGCGTGTGGATGTCCTCGACACTTCGGAAAGCCTCCTGCCAGAGTTCCAGCTCAACGGCGACGTTGAGCTGCTGGAAGCGAGTCTCGAGATGGCGCTGCAGGGTGTCCGGGTCGCTGAGGTTGATGGCGTGCATCTGCGACGAGTACTTGGCCGCCGTCTGGACATGGTTTCGGAGGAGCTCGCAGAGTCTTCGGAACTCGGTCTTTCGGGTGTACTTGAGACAGAAGTCGAAGGCCTGCATGGCCGTGCTCTGGTAAAGGACCTCGAGGCGGGCATTGTTGCGGAGAATGTCCAGGACGGTTCGGTACGCCTCCCAGAGGAACTTGAGCCAAGGAGTGACGATGGCACGGTCGGTGCGGTCACGAGACTGCTCGCCAGAGACGGTGGCGAGGAGGATGGACTCGGGGGTTTCGGTGGCTTCCAGATCATCGACGCTGGAGGTGGCAGCCGTGGCTTCGATGGTCGACTGGACTTTGTCGGCCTCTTGCTGGGCGGCAGTAACCTTCTCGACGGCGAGTTCGATGAACTTTTTCAGGACCAGCTGCGAGGCGGTCAGTTATCTATGCTTGCACCCTTTCTCCCGTTCCAACGTTTTGCCGATTACACACCTCGATGGTCGAGATATTGGTGTTCTGGGACAGATTCTTGTACTGGTACAGGGCGTCCTTGGCCAGCTTTCCCTTCTTCTGCTCGACGGACAGCTCAACAAGCAGGAGCATGACAGGCTCCAGCGAGGAGATGGCAGCGCTCCGAGAGCGCTTGTTGGTGATGTGCTCATGGAGCAGGGTCAAGGCCGTCTGGGCCTGGTTGACCCCGATCAGCTCGTGGGCGCGCTTCAGGACATTTTCGGGCTTTTGATGCGGCGGAGGCGGCTAGAAGACGGAGAAGAGCGAGGGTTAGCATCACGGCCCAACTTGGGTCAATTGAATGGCATGGAGGAGGGGCAGAGGCAGGCCGTCTCGCAACCGGGGATCGGGGCCTGCCGAGGGCATCACACGCACCATGCTGGGCAATCTCCTCCACGGATCGACGGGGAGTCGGACAGGGAGATTCGGGGGCAAAGAGTCGCCGTCGCAGGCCTGAGGATTCGAGATGGGGCGCTGGCGTGGCACTCGTGGTGGTGAAGCGGCGCACTTGGAGGAATTTTTCAATTTCGTGTGTGGACGCTATCCGAGCATGAGGGGCTGCGGAACGGTGTAGGTCACGTGGATGATTATGTCATGCTTGAACTTGCGGGATGGACGAGGCTGAACAGTTGACGATCAGGCTGATGCTCGTACTCGGCTTAAAGGTGTACAGTTGCCCACCGAGTTTGAGCTGTACCTATGGAGAAGCAAGATATATCTATGTAGTTGACCATGGATTATCCTCGATATATCTAGTAGTTCGCTGTAAGGGAAGCGAATTTTGCCAAGCCCATCCTCTACACAGGACAGACGCCGGCTTGATGGCCTTCCAGTTCTGCTTATCCAGTGAGAGAAAGCAGAGAGGGCATAAGATAGGCGAGAGCTCTGACTCTTTGATCTCAAAATGGCAACAAATTCCTGCATCTCAGCAATCCCATCACTGGTAATTCCAGTAGGGAGCAATCTCTCCAGCTGCTGAATCTACCTACCTACCTACTACCTATAGCAGTCTGGAAAGCCTCAAGGCCAACTTGACGCATAGCAACATATAGCGTCACGTGCTTGGTTGCTTAGTCACGCGCCTACCGTTCTGATGTTGATTTCAGCAGGGCTGCTGGTGAAGGGAAGAAACATCGCTCCTGCAACAATCTGTGCAAACACGCCCCCCGTCATGATGCGCAATCAGCGCAGCAGCGACTACCGCGATCGGTCGCGCGACCGAGACAGGGAAAGAGCCAACCGCGACAGGGGCAGCTACGGAGATCGCGAAAGAGACAATCGCGAGAAGGAGCGAGACGGAGACAGGCCGAGAGATACCCGGGATACAGGCAGGGAGAGGGATGGAGACAGGTATCGCGACCACGGCAGACGGCGCGATTATCGGGATCGCTCACCAGATCGGGGCGGTGACCGATACGAGAGACGTCAACGGTCACGATCTCCCCGACGCCACACTTCCGGCTTCAGATTCAAGGGCGACGAGCCGAGGAGACGACCGAGAGAAAACGCGGAGAAGAGAGAGCTCAAGGAGTCGAGAGAAGCCAAGGACGCAAAGGCGCCCAAGGCACCCAAACCGTCCGCCACTGCTGGACAGGAGATGATCATTGTCCACGTCAACGATCGGCTCGGCACCAAGTCGGCCATTCCCTGCCTGCCTTCAGACACAGTCGGCCAGTTCAAGCTCATGATTGCCGCCCGCATCGGCCGAGAAGCCGGCCAAATCATGCTGAGGCGACAGGGCGAGCGGCCGTTCAAAGACCACATTACGTTGGAGGACTATGGCATTTCGAACGGTGTGCAGCTGGATCTCGAAGTTGACACTGGCGATTGAGGGGGTACTTTGTCCGCCTTGCCCTTCTCTCTTCAGGACGACCGGCTTCATGTACTGTCGTTACTGGAACGTTATACAATATTGTCTGGTGCCCGTTGCATCAGAACTACTCGTATGTGGCATCAGAGCAAAACATACGTACTTGCCACGATGACTGACACCTACTACAGCATCATGAACAACTGAAACGGTTCCATCTCTTGTTTTCCAGACTCGACATCAGCGAACAGCTTACTCAGATGACTCTGCGTGATACCCCTAGATAGAGAATGAAGCAGTTGATGCACACTAGACGTGCATCCTACCCTGGGGAGTTATCTGCAGTTTCAGCTTGCTCGGTGCAAGATGGAACAAGAACGTGACTTGTTCGCGCTCGTGGTCATGCGTAGCAGTTGTAGTGCAATAGCAAGCCAATTCTCTCCGAAGCAGTCAGTGTGCCTACATGTACCTATCTAAGGTAGGTAGTGATAGGTAGTGAATGCACTCCTTGATATCGAGTATCATCTCAGCTGTCAACAACGTCCAAGCACCAGACAGCCAAGTCAGCTGCGATATCATCCATGGCATTGCCTACCGCATGTCCTCCGTATGGCGTTCATTGCTGAGAACTTCCAAGTGCAAAGTCGAGGCCTGCAGTAGCGCGACGTTAAGGTGGTGTTAGCGCGGTACTAGACGCATCAGCGCCACTCCGCCCATCCGCGCCGGTACGAGCAGCGAGCCTCGACTGGGGGGGCAGGTACCGCTTAGCACGCCGGCTACGGCAAGGGGTACACCTTTGGTTGAAGGGTCCCCGTCTGTTGCAGCCGGGGGTGCAGAATGCCCACCTCATAGGTACTAACTAAGGTACCTAGGATTACGCCTCGTATCCATACACGGCTACCTACAGTGCACCTCAGGAATGGGTATACTAATACATATCGCATCCAAGTTGCACAACGGCTGATTACATGAGCACGAGAAGAAACAGGACAGACCAAGAATACATAGCATGGAAGTAATACGGCCAAGCCCACCGCGCCGGATCCTGGCGGTTTGACCAAGAGCTGAGCCCCCTGTCTGTCCAATTTCCAGCGCGGCGCACGTCCCCACCCAGCGCCCAGGCAAGCCAAGCAGCCACCCGCCCAGAGCCGAGCAGCAGCAGCAGCAGCAGCAGCAGTGCCCTAGGTAGGTAAGTATCTGCCTAGTAGTACATGTAGTACCTGTAGCTCCAGGCTGCTCTCCCCCCTAAGACCAGCACCTGCGACCCCCCTACAGGAGTCCAGCTGCAGCACCCCGGCCCCAAGTTACAGCGGGCTCCACTGCTAATTATCCGCCGGCAGCAGCCCGCTAAAGCACCGGTTCGCTGGTGCATTGGCTCAATCTCGTGTGGCGGCCGTTTCCCATCCAATCTCTCCTTCTTTCCCAGCCCAGGCCTCCTCTCACTCCCTCACTCTCTCGCTCTCTCTTTTTTTTTTTTGGCCGTTTCTGCCTCCTCCTCTCATTTTCTCACTCACACACACACACACACGTAACGCACGTTTTCTTCTCGCCTTTTGCGGCCCAGAATCCCCTCCTCTTTCTCAATCCCCCCCCATTTATTGGAGCCCGTGTGTCGTCGCTGTTTCTCGCGACTGAAGAAACGAGGGTTTTCTTAATTTTCATTTTTTTACTTCAACGACAGGTGGTAAGTCATTCACTGAACGCTTCCGTTTTCTTTTTGTCCCATTGCGCTGTGACTGCGAATACGCCCAAGGGGGGGCGGCGCGGAAAGGAGAGCTACCAGAGGCACCACCAAGGCACGACGCCCGGATCGCATGGCGATGTTTCAATTGAATGGGAGGCGATATGCATCGACAGCAACGACAGCAAAAGGGGGACAGTGGTTTCAGGAAGATGGCCTCGTTCTTTGTTGTGCCGTCGCCTGCAGCCCATCGCGAACCAACACGGACTTGTCGTCAGCTTGCCGCATTTGCCGAGTCTTTGTCGTGTCTCGCCTTGCCTCGCCTCGCCTCGCGACCGGTTGCTGTCAATCACTGCTTTGCATCCGTTGCACTGCGTCTCCCGAGCCGGCATCACGGTTGCGCCAAACCTGACGGCGGCAAACATTCACGCTCTCCTTTTTCCTATTTTATCACCACCTGTCATTGCCGCAGCCCCCTTCATTCAGCTGCCACGCCGTCAACCCGAGCTTTGACTGAGGCTAACCGGACAACCGCATGCAGTTCTCGCGCCAATCCGTCATCACCGTCCATCGACCCGGCCGACGAATCTGCGAGTCATCCATCGCTCCGATCCGCATCAGTTCCAACTCGACAGTCATTCCTTTAATTCACCCTCCGTTACGATGCCTCAGTACACCTCTCGTGATGTCGGCGACCCGACTCAGATTAAGAAGACGAAGCAGTCAATGGCAGACCTGAAGCTGAGGCGCCTAACGGAGCTCAACAACAGACTACGTGAGGACCTGGACCGGGAACGCATTCCCGTCAGCACCGCCTCCAAGAGGTAAGCACCAAAGACGCATCGTGACCATTGTCGGACAGGGAAACGGGAGGCTAACGCAATTGCTGCAGCATCATTGCGTACTGCAATGGCACAAGAGATTATATGGTCCCGTCGGTATGGGGCACAGTACCAAAGGGCGAGGATCCCTATGCGCCTCAGCAATCCGGCGGCTGCTGTGTCGTCATGTAATTGCGTTTTCCGACGTGTGGAGGGACGACCATCGATGATGAAGGAGCTACTGGCGTGGGATCGCTTTGATTTTTTTTTCTCCCTTGGTGTGTGACCAAGGGCCTTCTTCTTTCTCTCTCTCTTTGATTTTACAACGCAATGCCTACGCAGCTGGAAACAGGCAGCGAGCAAACGACTTGTCACGCCGACACACCATCCAAAACAATAAACACCTGGTCCGGAAGCCTTTTATGAGAAACTAGAACGGGACTCTGAGCTGGATCGACACAGTCTCAATGATTATATCAATGCTATGCAGGGAAGAGGAGAAGACGAGGGGAACGAGGTAACCGATGGGGGCGGCAAAGGGTGGTTGTGACCGAGGACAGCCCCTCACAATCTCCTCTTTTCTACGAGTTATTTTTCCTTTTTTTTTTCCTCCTTTTTCTTTTCAGCTCTCTTACTTTTTAATAAAGCAGTCGAGCGGTTTTTTTCCATCGAGGCAGGCGATGGATGGGAGTGGGAGGGACAGAAGGGGACGAGAGATATCCAGACAAAGGGGTCTACTGTTGGTTTTCCTGGGAAAGCCGGCTCCTTTTAGCATGTATTAATTTCTGATTTCTCTATGGTTCCTTTTTTGTTCAGTCGATGCCCGCCCTGTACGCCTGTTGCCTATTTTATCCTTATCTGTGGGCTTCTACGTTCATTTTGCGCGTTGGAGGCGGTTGTTGCGGTGAGGGAGAGGTGCTTTGGTGGTGGATCGTTGGGGAGACGGTGGGAGGCAGTGAATAGGTAGTGAGTGGTGTGGAGTGTAGATAATTGATGGATGCATGTGTTATCTTGTGGCTCTTGCGCTGGTTTGAGTGTGGTGTACCGAAGATGTGAAGCAATCGTAGATTCATCAGTTGTCTTGATCGAATTGCTTCATTCGCCTCGTCACGTGTGTTAACAGGAAGCAGAGCAGCAGTGCAGCAGTTGGACCACGATGGCTAACGTCAATCTGCGCATTATGTCTCCTGACAATACCTACGCAATGACTGTTTTCAATTGACCATCTACTTTCACGGAGAAGTTGAAAGCTCATGCCATGTACGATGATGCCATGGGGTTTGGCTCAGGCAGCTGGGTACCTAGGTAGGTAAGCCCTTTACACAAGGTTAGTAGTCTCCTGTGCACGTGAGTTTACGAAGACGATGCTACCCTTGAATGGTTTACACCAAGGACGCATTCCCCTTGTCCCGTTGTAACGGAATGAGATACGAAAGCGGTCAGAATTCGCACAAATATTCCATTGAAACCTCTTGATTATCCAGTAGTTGAGAGTAGATTCGAGCATCTCTAATGATATTTGCCGAGTCATGCATTTCCCATTCATACAAAGCTATCCGGGAAATGGAGGAAAAAGTCGCTCACCATGATAGTTCTCCACACAAAGCACAGCCAGGTATTAGACTAGGTAGCTGATCTCACCATTCGTTCTCCGTACCTACGCGCTCCGAGGCTTCGGTACCTTAGTACCTAGGTACATCAAGACCTCACTCACTCACTCACTCACTCATCACCACCATACCGATCCCTCACCGAAAAAACAACTTCCCACGTCCAACTCCTCAAACCAAAACCCTCCAACCCAGATCTCCAAATGGCCTCAACCGCACCACCACCGCAACATGCAACCGCCCCGGCGCAAAGCCCCATCACGGCTCCCCTCCCACGAATAACGATCCAATTCTGCACGCAATGCAAATGGATGCTCCGCGCCGCCTACGTATGTTTCCATCAATGACACATCATCTATCATCCAAACTTTTCCAAGGCAACATCAACAAACAAAACTCATAAAAAAAAAAGAAAAGAAAAAAGACTAACAATTTCATAATCATATTAATGTATCCTTTTCTAAAAATAACAGTACGCTCAAGAATTACTATCCACATTCTCCCTCGCCATAGGCGAAGTCGCTCTCCAGCCCTCCACAGGCGGAACCTTTATCGTCACAATCCACCACCACCAACCCTCTCCTACATCCTCCTCCAACACAACCTCATCATCATCAGGAGCAGGAGCAACAGCAACAGAAATTCAAAGCACAGTCCTCTGGGACCGCAAAACAGACGGCGGCTTCCCCGAAACAAAGGACCTCAAGCGCCGCGTCCGGGACGTCATCGAACCGGGGCGCAACCTGGGGCACGTTGATCGCGATCATCCTCGTCCCTCCGCCCCCTCCTCAACCCCATCCACCGCTACTGCTGCTGCTGCTGCTGCTGCTGGGCCTGCCAACTCAGCTTCTGCAGCCACTTTGGCCTCTGCAGGTGATGCGCAAAAGACTACGCAAGAGGCTGCTGCTCCAGCATCATCATCATCATCATCGGCATCGGCATCAGCATCAGCATCAGCTGCACGGGAGGGTGCCGCTGAGGATAAGGATTCACAGAAGCACGCTTCGTCGGGTATTGTCTGCGAGGACTGCACCTAGAAGGGGGACTAGTCATGTCAAATATCAAAGGATGGAATCGATTGAAGATGATTGGAAAGAGAATGCCAAGTAATATGCATCTCAGAAGCACAAAGCTTGATCCATGTCAGTAAACGTGACATATTTCGATTTTTATATGGTCCTGGTCAACGTAATAGGCTCTATGCTGGGGAATTACTCTCTACCTAAGGTAGTCTTGAACCCAAGTCACTTCAAGACATCCAATGCGGCATCCACATAGTATGCTCTGCCAACAAAGCTTCCCATTTGGCAGCTTTCGTAACGAACAAGACATCACACAAAAAACGCCCTGTAGCCACATGAAACAAGCCCGGGTTACACCACAGTCCATCTCATATGCTTTACGCGCGTCAACTCCTCAGACTAGAGCACGGCTACGTCATTTGATAGACGCAGATCCAAACGAGTTAAAAGTGACATGATGTATTTTTTTTGTGTAAACGATTTTATCTGTGAAGCTAAGAAACAGCCATTTGTCATGACAAAGTTTGCATGTTGGGACATTAGAGGCGATGCGAGCGAACCGCCGAGTCGGTACATTAATGCAGGATGGGCTCGGCGCGTGCTTCTCCAAGCAACCCGTCACCGCCACACGGCCCAGCGACGGAGCGACGGAACAGGTTGCAGTGTGAAAAGTCTCGGAGAATCAAAAAGAAAGTCGGCGGTGGTACCTAGGTCGTCGAGGCGAACACCGTCAGCCGGGAGGCCGACGAGCATCAGTTCGTTGTCTTAACGCCGTCCGAACCTGATGGGAACCTGTTAGCATAACTACTCCTTCGACACTGCCGCCAACTATGGGACCAAAGACGTACTTTTGTTTCTTCTCAGCGGGCTTGAGGATCTAGATGAGGAAGCAACGTTAGCCGGGCAATGATCGACAGACAAGCCTCGAATGGGTTGCACAAACCTGGAACGAGCAGAGCAAGCTCTCGTCCACGCTCATCATGGCACCAGCATTGTCAAACTCGCCGCAGTAGTTGGGCGCACTAAACAGGGTGACGAGCTGGCGCTTGGAGAAGAATTCGTAGCCGTCTTCGACGACCTGGTGGGCGCGGCAGATGAGGTCCATGTCGTGCTTTTGCAGGAAGCGCGACACCACGTCCGGGCCAAAGGTGAAGGACACGCCACGGTCGTTTTCGCTCCAGCCGGTGATGTCCTTGTCGGGGTCGGACCACAAGAGATCGCACAGCAGTCCGCAATCGGGAATCTGGAGGGGGAGAGCGTTAGCACATGTCCTCTCACTGGGTAAAGCATACAATGGCATTGCGCTGCAAGCAATTGAACAGAGGGGAAAAAAAAACGTACATCAGTGGGACGCATGACGCGACGAATCTGCTCCATCGAGTTCAGATCGGGGCTGAGACCTCCGTGCATGGTGAAGATCTTCTCGTCAATGATGGCGGCAATGGGCAAGCAGTTGAAGCAGTCGGTAAATGTCTTCCAAAGCTTGATGTTGTAACGCCTCTTGCACTCATCGTAGAAGCCGTAGATGCGGTTGATGGAGGCGCACTCGTGGTTGCCACGCAGAATGAAGAAGTTCTCAGGGTACTTGATCTTGTAGGCAAGGAGCAGGCAGATGGTCTCGAGAGACTGCTTGCCACGGTCGACGTAGTCGCCCAGGAAAAGGTAGTTGGCCTCGGGGGGAAAGCCGCCATACTCGAACAGGCGCAGGAGATCATAGTACTGGCCGTGAATATCGCCGCAAATCTGTACAGCAATTGCGTCAGCAATACGCCCCTATCGAGCAGCTCCCCCGAGGGGTTTTCCTCTCTTCTCTCTTCTCCCAAAGGCGACGGCGGCGTCGGCTTACCTTGATAGGGGCCTCCAGCTCGAGGAGGATGGGCTGGGAGATGAAGATCTCGCGAGCCTTGGTGCACAGGTAGCGAATCTCGGTCTCGAGGAGCTGCACCTGCTTTCCGGGTCGGCTGCCTCGGACCTCGAGCAGCCGGTCAATTATAGAGTCGAGATCGACCTCGTGCTGGTCAGCCATCGTAGAGATGCTCCCCGTGGGAGGGACGGCTCGCGGATATCGGATAAATGAGCCGAGAAAGGCTGCTCGTTATAAAGAGGGAGAGGAGGAAAAGGGAGGGCGTGCTGAAAGCAGGCCGATGCGCAAAATAATGCGGCCCCTCGATTAGAAGGAAACAGAAAAATGCACAACGACAGATGATACACTAGTCAAACTATGCACTCTGAAAATGAAGAGATGATCCTATCGTCGAGTGTCAGAAAGAAAGAAGAGACGACAAGAATCATCAATGGGCGTGGGCCAGGCCAACCGGGGAGGCAGGTCCCCTCCCAGCTCGATAAAAAAGAGAAGAAGAGCAAGGAAGGGAAAGGGCGAGATGGGCAGGTAGGTAGAGGCCAACGTCCTGATGGCGAGGGGGGCTTTAGATGGCTACCCCCCATCTGGTCATCAAAGAGCGATTGCCGCCGCGATGCTCCATCACGATGCTCTCTTCTCCCCTTTCCTCTCTCTTCTTCCCTCTCTCCCAGTGCCTCCTTCTCTCGTCGAAAACGAGGGGGAGGAGACAATCGCCGACGGAATGGTGCGTGGATGCCGAAGAGCAAGCAGGAGAGCGAGCGCGCATCGCCAGGTGGGGAAGAAAACTAAGGGCAAAGGAACTCACAAGCTGTGCGGGCAAAAGGCCTCTCTTTCGGAGGGGGCTCAGAGCCAACGCGAAGGGGGAAAAGATGGCAGAGAGGGCGCAGCGGAGCAGAAACAGACGTTCTAAATGCGCGATGGCTTGCTCTCGTGGCAATAGAGACGGGCTATGGTAAGATACTCTGGTAGGAAAAGGCCGCTGATGATGCAGCCGTCGTTCGCCGTGGGTGCCTCAGAAAAAGGGCTCGTCGCTCGAGGGTTCGGTTGGGGATGGCTTCGGGGGGCCTCTTTTTTTTCTCTCTCTTCGTGTCTCTTGTGTTTTGGCTGCTGCTTCGGCGGCGTCGTCGTCGTCGTCGCGTCTGGAAAGTCCCGGCAAAAGGGGCAAACCGCTGAGGTCGAAGACTGAAGGCTTCTGATGATGGACGATGATGGAGATCGTCGGTCGTCGTGGGCAGATGAGGCCGTCCTTTGGTCAGAGACTGGGTTGACGGAGTCGCTTTGGGGGTGGTGGCAGAGGGAAGAGGGAAGCAGGCTTTTTTTTCCCTCCGCAGGCGAAAAAGAAGGGAACAAGTGGGTTCAGGCCCAGGTCCTGCCTGCTGTTGCCGTTGCCGTTGCCGCGCAGTGCCGGGGCGACTGCAGCGACTGGAGATGGCCTGGGGCTCTCAGTAGTAGAAAACGAGGTTGGCTGGCACCATGCCGGCATGGTGCCGGCACCGTAACATAGGTGCCTGGCACGTACCAAGAGGTGCCGGCACCGTGCCAAAGGTGCCAAAAGGTGCCAAGTGGTGCCAAGTGGTGCCGCATAGGTGCCGCACAGGTGCCTCACAGGTGCCAGAGGTGCCAAAGGTGCCAAAGGGTGCCGCAGTACCGGTCTGTGCGGTCGCGCATCACCCTTTATAAGGCAAGAGACAGAGGTAACCTTCTGATAATAGATAGAATAGCCTAGTGGTATAGATACCTAGTAATTGAATTGCATTTTTGCCTTGTTCGAATCCCTGTGACTGTAAAAAAAAGTACCTGCGCCCTGTAAAAGAGATAGTACCTGCAGTTGCGATTAATACATCGTGACCGACTAGAGGTACAACCACTATTTTTGCTGCAGCGGATACCCTTTGGCACCTCTTGGCACCTGGATGGCACCGTGCCGGCACTATGCCGGCACCTTCTGGCACCATGCCGGCACCCTTGGCACGGTGCCAAATTTGTAACCGTGCCGGCAGGGTTTCAATATTTTGGTATGGTGCCAGCAGGTGCCACACCAAAATCCACTACAGACGTTTTCTACTACGGCTATTGCTCGGGGTCCGGCTCAGCTGGCTTACGGGGCGCTACGGCCTATATTTACAGCGCATTCGGGCTGGGCTGCGATCGCTATAGGGACCTATCCATGGAGCCCTTCTCCCGACACTATAATCCATTGGATAGCTGAGGCGTCTGGTTGCCCGATGATTCATCCGCCTCATCAGTGAGAGATGGACGACCTGACACCACATGCAGACAGCAGACATGGATCCGACTGAAGCTGATGGGGAAGCTGCCCGAGTCTCTCACGTGCTATTGCAGACTGGCGTTGCCTTTATGCATCTTTCATCTGCATCTTCATCTGCAAACTCCCCATCAAGTCTCTAATAGGTAGGTACTCTCTCTCTCCACATCCTGAACAAATACTGCATCTTCAGCAAACCCTCGACATGCGCTTCTTCGTCAGGAGATGGACTGCAGCCCGCCAGGATTAAAGAACAAAAAAACAAAAATCAGAAAAATCGTCCGTGTCCTGACTCTGCTCTGAAGCGGCCTGCTAGCGCCACCCTCCGGCCATGGATATCAAATACATGTAGTAGTTACCTACCTGTATGGATTGGGCCTGGTCTTCTCTGACTCTCGCCGAGCTTACCCTTGTCTTAGCCTCAACTCTCTCTCTCTCTCTCTCCAGGGCCAGGTCCAGGGCAAACGTGTAAGCTCTCGTGAGAACCACGCCAGAGCTAGCGAAAGCATCGAATTCTGCACGCGTCGACAGCGTGGCCCGCGGTGGCCCATTTGTGGTGCTGGCGCTCTGCCTCGTGCTGGCTACATACATGTACCTACCTACATGTAGGTAAGCAGCAAGAAAGAAGAAGTAAAAAGCCCGCGATGCTGCCGCCATCTCTTAATACTATAACCGCCCTCGATCATAGTACTAATAGTACCCGCGATGACTCCTTTCTTCGCGCTACTACCACTACTACCACCACCACCACCACTACCACCAAATACTACATGTAGTATTACAATAGAAGAAGCCAAGGCACAAGCCACGACGCCCGTCAAAACCGCGCCGCATCCGGCACTGCCCCTCTTGCAGCATCTCTGCAAACCCCCAGCTCCAAGCTGCCTTGATTCCGTGCCCCTCCCTCCAAAGTCTCCTCTCACCACGCCAGGCATCCACTGCATCTTCTTGCTCAACCACCGCACGATTGCAGCTGAAACCAGGTTTTGGCCCCTCGCTGTATGATTATCGTCTGTGCATCTGATCGTCTGATCGTCTTTCTATTTCATATAATAGACCGAATGTCCCCCCCCTCCGCTGATCCATCCATCGCCTTGTATTTCTCTCATCATTATTGTTATCCTCTGTTCCTGTTCTCACTAATACTACTACCTAGACCTGCAGCAGTCTCTTCGGCTCAGCTCCGTGCTCTTCCCAGCTACTACCTACCTAGGTACCTACCATAGCTATTGGCTGGCCGGGGACCAACGTCAACAAGCATCCGCTCGTATCGCATCGCAGCCCAGGGCGTCAGTTTCGAAATCGACAAGGGGGCCAGTCAAGAGAAATCGACAAGGAAGTTTGGGAAAAGGAAGCCAGGCACAAGAGACTTCCTGGTGCAACCCGGTACCGACCTAGTACCTACGTACTAGTACTCAGTTGACAAGGTACAGATAATATCGCCATGACCAGATGCTGCCCAAAAGGGGAAGCCAGAGAATTGAATCTTGGAACACACACGCCTCTGTCAAAAGCCCTAGGACTTCCCACTCACACATGACATCCTCGTCTGGCGTTTTGTGATGCATCGCTTCCCTCTGCGAACCCCCTCCCCGGTCTTCTTCCTTCTGCTCTCTCCGGCCCGTCGTCCAATGCCAACTCGTGTCTTTTCCTCCTCCCCCTTCTTTTCTTCTGCTGACGACTCCGGCACCGGGTCCAGACAACCCATTTCTCCACCCCTCGATTTTTTGTCCCCCTCCCTCCCTCCTCCCCTCGCCGTTTCGCGCTCTCTTTCGCACCTCCTCTTTGGAGGTCTCTCAACCAACAGGAACTCGATTGCGCCTAGGATCGAGAGAGAGGGGGGGCGAGGCGAGGCGCTGTTCGTCGCATCGGCCAATGGACGCGCGTTGTCCTGCAGGCCCGCAATTCCGCCTCGTTCCTTTTTGTTTTTTTTCTTGTGATGCTCGGGGCTGCGGATAGGAACTGGAGCCCCCCTCCCTCGTCTTCGTGCCAACCTGCCTTGATACTTCATGGGTGGTATCCTGAGATGAAAATACATGCAGTACAGTACAAGCACAGAGTAATACATAGCTCTGAAGAGACTGCGAGAAACTCATTCTCATCTCTTCCAGCCATCACCTCATCAGGACAAAAGCCTCGAAAAGCCATCCAAGCCATCTCATCAGCAAAGAATTACCTACCCAAGTCAGCCTGACGAAAATAGAAACCCCTAAGAAACCCAATCTCCAAGCCATCACCCCATCCAAAAGAAGAACCCATAATAAACTGCCCTCTCTCTCTCTCTCTCCGTATAAACTCCGTCCCTAAATCACCCAATCTTGCTCGTACCCATACATACACACACACACATACACACACTACCCATAAAATCCCGTTCATCCGTCCAAACAACCCCGCCACCCCGCAGAAAGAAGCAGAAACCTGAAAGCGCCTACATACATACCTAGTACCTTACTGGTTGTACCTACACGGAGTACGGCGTAGGATTAAGTACTTACCTTAAGGTACCTACCAAACGGCCCATGAACTTTGTCGTCCTATCAGGTAAATTTCGCAGCCTTGTTCTCTGGTGGTACAACTTTGACTGCAAGCCTCGTTAACGCCACCAGCTACACCACACACCCCACACACAGGTATACACACACGGAGTTTTGCATGCCTGGTTAACAAACATCATTACTGCATCAAACATCATGAATGCTCAAAGCTCACCACTTGACACTTTCCATGACCCTTTCTCATCATTCGCATTAGAACATGACTGAATTATACACGGAATTCGTAACAGTGACCATTCGAATACCTTCCCTGGAATCCTACACGATAACAGAGAAAGAACAAATTCCCATTGTCCCTCCCACGCGCCTCCATAAAGAAAACAACACCAACTATCCATCTGATAAAAAACCCCTCTAGGAGCAAAAGAAGCGTTGCTAGGCTCCCAGCGAGTTCCCCTCAAGACAGCGCCACCCCCTTCTCTTCAGCCTCTCACCTAACTAGGTCTTCCCTCGTCAAGCCAGTTTGCCAGGGCATACCACTGGTAGGCTGGCAGAGTTGAGAGACATATTTTCGCCTCCGTTCCCAGTCCTTCTCCAGGCACTTTCGTAAGGAAATAGAACAAGGAGCATGAAAAGCGTCAATGGGAATACAATGTCGAACAAAGACCAGAATCGAAGGGGAAAGAAAAAAACGACCAATAAACCGGCCGGATTATGGGTGTATCAATAGAGAGAGAAAAGGTAAAGTAAAAAAGTGTAAAGGAGAAAAGGCAAAACAAGTAGCAATGCTGCTGTCCCTCCCAACGCCAAAGCCTTATATACCGATGCTTCATCATAAAGCGCTCAGTCCAAAACAAGAAACCGAGGGTCAACACAGAAAAGAAGAGCAAACGCGGAAAAAAAAAAAGAAAATGTTGCGGGTAAAAGAGGACCGAGATGCCCTTGCGCAATTCCCCCTTCAAACAAAAAGGTCATTCCTCAGTTGGCAAAACCCCTCTGGAGCTCGCCCTACCGCCGTCTAGTCGCTCTTCGTTTCTTTATTCTACTCGCCTTATTCTTGGCGCTCCCTCCGCTCGAAGCCCCTTTGGGCTCCTCTGTGTCCATCACCGCAGCCGCCACCGCATCGTCAATGTCGATCCCGAGGTCCTTGAAGTCTTCGTCATCAAGATCTGTCAGTTCCTCGCTGAGCGTCCGCACCGCATCTCGACCAGCGGCCCAGTGCTCCTCGAGAATAGACGTGCCGTGCGGCTCGAGCGCCTTGAGATACCACAGGACGCCTCCCTCCGAGAGAGGATCGGCCGACTCGTTACCCAGGCTTCCATTACTCTGCGGTGGGGTCGGCGGCCCATCCTGAGATGGCCGGGACATGACGACGTAGCTGCTCGTGCTGTTGGGAGGAGTCTCGGAGGAGATGGCCGCCGAGTTGATCCGCGCCGATTTAATGTTCATCTCGGTGGTTATGCCGAGGCCCCCCGAGGATCGGCCCGTCATGATGCCTAGCCCCACGGTGTTGACCTCGATGCTGTCGCCTTCCTCCTCCACCACACGGCCACTGTCTTCACCGTCATCTTCATTCTCGCCAGTGTCCATGAGGTCGCCGGCGTTGGAAACAACAACACTCCCGCCAGCCAAGGATTCACTCTTAATGGAAGGTTGGGCCTCGGAGGACGGGTCAGGCGCGTCCAGCATAATGGTGTCTTCAGCCGCCGAGTCGTTTGCGAGGTGACCCGTTGCGTTGGATTGCCGCCCAATATCGGTGCTGGCTTCGAGAAGGGCCTCCAGCTCCCTCTGCAATCCCTCAGACGGCTTGGTGGAAATTTCTGCCTCGACCTGCAGCGACGCTTCAAGCAACGGCTGTACCGCCTTGAGAATGCGCTTCCCCAGCTTGCGTCGCTCTCGAATGTCTGAGAATATTGATACAGCGATGGAGTTGGTGCTGATGTTGGCACCGCTGTCATCGTTGCCAACCTCCCCTTCCGCTGAGGCGCGGTGGGCGGAATTTAAGAGTTCGGGCGGGTTCAAGATGCCCTTGCTGATGACTTCGCCAAGGTCCTGTGCAAAAGCCAGAGTGTTGACATATACCCGCTTGTCGACGCTGGCTTGCAGTTCGTTCAAGCCGGCTGTGAAGAGTCCCTTATCCAGCCTGTGCAATGACTCGTTAGAACAAACGCTCTTGTGCTGTTGTATTTTGTGTAGCATAATGGGCTAGAATGAAAGGGGACAACTCACGAGATAGCCTTTTCGACCACGGGCACCAACAGCTTGGCCGTTGGAAAGTAGCACTCGTCCACAAAGTCCTGTTCCAGCTCGGCAGCCTCCAGCTTGAGCTGTTCACGCTGCACAATGTCGGCGGCGATGGACTTGAGCTGCTCCAGCTCGTGAATGATGCCTTGGGCAAACTCGATGCGACGGGCCAGTCTTGCCTTACCGCTAGGACCCATGGCGGCAAAATTGCGCCTCGTCAGCTCCATGGAGGAAAACGACTCCATCTGCAGCTGCAGCCGCTTGAGGAGCGCGGCACCCCTACGTGCCTCTCTCTTCAGGGTCCAGTAGCGACAAGCCTCGCTGAGGAAGTCTTTGCGCTTGCCAAAGGAGAAGCGCTGGATGGATGCTTCGACAATGTCGAAGACGACCTGGGGGATGATGGGCGCTCCCGACGGCAGCTTCCACAGATTCTTGGGAGGCTGGCCCTTCTTCTTGTCGCCCAGGATCGCCAGGTTCTTAGCCCCCGTCATCTGGCTTTCGTCGGGCGGATGTTCGGTGATGGCAGTGCGATGCTGCGCGGCAATGACATTGGCCATGGCTTGGTTGTCGGCCCAGATGCGACCGCGCATGTTCCTCTTATAGAACTTCTTGGCGGCTCGCGTTGCCTGATGGACCTGGTTCTCTTGGGCGTGATCCGGTGGGCAATGCTTATCGCAGAATGCCTTGAGAACCATGCTGCCGTCCAGGACAGCCAGAGTGCCCTGGACAGTCTTCATCTTAAGGAATAGCCGGGCCCTTCTGGCGCAGGTGACGTGGAAGGCTTGATAGCAGTTCTTGTTGCCACACTGGATGCAGGCGCCCATCCTCTGCCGACAGATGTAGCAGGTGAGCTTCCACCGGGTCTTGGGGACCTTTTCGACATCCATGACAGGCTCCATAAAGGTGTGATTTCCTAGAGACACTTCGGGAATCCACATGGCACAGAGTAGATGGGCCCATTTTGACGAGTTTGTTTGCTTGAAGGCGCCGTCTGTGTTGGGGCAAAAGATGCAAGTCTATACGGAGAAGAAGAGAATGGTTAGAGAGGGAGGAAACGCAAGAGAGTGAGGTAAGAGATGAGAATCGCAGAGGATAAGAAACAAGGGAGGAAGGGGGGGAAACTCTTACTGGAATTCCGCGACCGCACAGTTGGCATTTCCGGCAAAGCCACTGACCCTCCGGAATAAAAGGCACACCGTAGCATTCTTGGTGAACCGCGAGGTTGCAGCCGTCGCAAAAGACAATGGCGTTTGTGTTTTCGCAATCTCCGTCGTCGCATATGGCGCACTTGCTGTCCGGCTCTTCGCCGCCGTGGGTCTCGCCGTTAACGGCCACGGCCGAGCTGGACCGCGGCCGATGCGTCTGCGGCGGCTTGGGGTTGGGTTTCGGTATCCGCCGCTCGAGGGCGTGCCACTCCTTCTCAATCTTGGTCATTGTGATTTCAAAGATCTCGCGCGTAATGGCCTGCAGCTCGTTGGCCTTGCGCTGGGCGTTGTACTGCTCGAGCCACATGTCGTCCTGCTCGTCCATGTCGTACTCGACACGGCCAAGCCTGGACTGGTGCGCGTGCTCGTCGCCGGCAGCCACCGAATACTGCTCAAATTCGTCGTCTGCGTTGCTGTCGGTGGCCTTGATAAGCGTGCGTTCGGATCGGATAAAGTTGTCGCTTTCCTGGTAGCCAACGTTGCTCATGGCCTTATCAACATAGCGCGCCTGGCCAAAAGTCTTGCTTTCAAACAACTCGATGCGGTTGGTCTTTCTGTATGAGGGCAGTTTGAGGTCGAGGCGCTCCTTTGGCGTCTGGTTCTGGATGGGGAGGATCTTGGGGGTCTTGGGCGTGGGAGCAAAGTCGAGGGGTCGGACGTTGTAGAAGCTGACGACCTCGCGGGTGGATCGGCGAGGGCGTCTCGATGATGGGGTCCCGGCAGCTGAGTCGTCAACGTCGCCATCTGGGCCGCGCGCTGCCTGCGGGTTGGGCGTGTTGCCCGTCGAGGCTGGGTTGACGGGCCTGGACGGCGTCATGGCGTCCAGATGCGGCGTGGCAGGCAGCGGCGCATCCACCGCGGGCGTGTTGGGCGCCTCGTGCACGGCGACCCCGTCGACGTCGTGGGCGGCAAAGATGACAAAGGGCAGGTCTATATCAAGGTTTGGATGGAACTCCTCCCAGCTGCGCTCCTCGCGAGGCTTGTAGTCTTCGGCCTGCTTGACGGAGGCAGCCATGGCGGCGGCGGACCCCCATCGCATCTCATCGCTGTCTTCGTTGGCAGCAGCCCGGGCCCGCGTGCTCCGCTCCCGCCGCGGGGGCATGGAGGGCGAGGCACCGTTGAGGGCGAGGCGGGCGGTCGAGGTTCGGGATCGCGAGCCCGTGGTGGTGCGGGCCGTGTTGGGCGTCTGGATGGAGTCGGCGTCCAGATACCGGCCGCCGCCGCCAGGGCCTCCAGGCACATATCTACGCCGCTTCTGGGGCGGTTCCGAGGCGGCGGCAGCGGCGAGGGAGGCCTGTCTGGCGGCACGCGCAGCGTTGGTCGAGCCAGGCGGACGCCCTCTGCGCCGGCCGGTGGGCGTTCGACGGGGGGTTGGCGAGGCTGGAGCCATGATGGCCAGCAGAGCCGACTGTGTTGTCTACGGGCGGCAAGGCGACGCTCTGGGGGGGAGGATGGTTCAGCAGCGAGCAAGTCGAGGCAAGGCTGCGAGGCGTTGAGACGAGATGGAGCCCGAGTCGAGGCTGGCAACGAGGCTGGCGCTCAAGGGCGCGCGCACGGGGGAACGGGATCGAGGCGAGAGGGCGGGCTCCGAGCGTCGTCGGGGCTTCAGGCGGCCCCGTAGCAGCAGCTCGAGCGGTCGGGTTCATGTGCAGGGCGACGGAAGCCCTCGTGTGGCGAGCAGTCGATGGGCGATGGCAGCATCAGGGGACGACGTGACGTCCAAACTTGGCGGGCGGCTCTGCCCTCTGCTGGAATCTCGGGGGGGCGAGCGAAAAACAGACAACGCGTGAAGGCCTGCGCACGGGCCACCTGCGGGCATCTCGAACGGTCCTAGTCCGATCCGGGCTGCGCTTGGGCGGTTGGGGACTAGCGGCTGCAGCCTTGCCGACTTGTGTGCCTGGGAGATGCGCTAACCGACTCGATGAGGTGAATCTTCAAGGCAGGTGTAAACCATGAGAAAGGGACTCTACGTACCTACCTACAAAACCACCAAGGTACCTTACCTAGGATATGTAGTAGGTAGTACAGAGGGATGGATTGATGGACTGTCATCGTCATCATCTCTTCGATACGTACCTTATCGGCTTCACCGACTCATCTGATAGCAAGAGTCAATGCAAGTAATCGACAATCAAATGCACGAGTACACACTCTCGAACCAGATCGATCCGCATGACAGCACATGTAAAGGCGGAGCATCTGCATCCGACACAACATGCAGTGTAATTGGAAGTGCGCGGTACCTTGCGGCAATCAACCGCATCTCCGTCCCCATCGGCCCCAGCCAGAACTGCAGCTCCAGCGCCGTCAAAACGGCTTCATGTCGGGGCATGATTATACCATACCTAAGGTACTAGATGTCAGATGTTAGCGACTGGAAACAAGACGAGACAATATGACCACATACGTATTCCATCCATCCTCGACTCATGCACAAGTCGAAATCTCCGACTTTCTCTCCTCTCTCTCTCTCTCTCTCTCTCTCTCTCTCTCTCTCTCTCTCTCTCTCTCTCTCTCTCTCTCTCTCTCTCTCTCTCTCTCTCTCTCTCTTCTTCAATCAATCCTCTCAACTGACTCTTATAACCCCCCATCTGCTTCTCCACATCCCCCCAAGCACTTTAACAATAACTCAGACAAACCAACCCATCCATCTACTCTGCCATTCCCGCCTAATTACCATTACATTGAAGCACAGACAGGCAAAGACTGACAGCAACCGCCCGTAAACCCCCCTCCACTCCCCCCCCTGACTCTTCACCCAATCACACCTCGCCCCGTCAAGTTGCTTATTACATACCTGTTAGATCGGCATCGGGTATCTAGTCCGATGCATCGATCCATCCAGGCACCGCCGGCCGCAGAGCCCTTCCCCCCTCCCCCCGGATTCCGATTAGATTGGGGTCGGGTCCCTCTCGAAGAAGCAAAGTACGGAGAGAGAGAGAGAAAGGCTAGAGGGAGCGCATGTGAACAGGAGAGTGGCACCTCCTCCTTCTCCACGCCTTGCTTCCGTCAGCCCCGGGCCTGAGCCAGTAATTAACCTCCTACGTGTGAATGAAAACTTGGTCGGCTTTGGCTTGATTGCTCACTTGGACAATGGTTGGTTGATTATCGATGGCGCGACCGGAGGTTCAATTGTTCAGGTAAGGCGCTGAGTAAGGTGCAGAAAGGCCGAAAAACCCTGTACACAACTTTCGTCTATCTATCAAAGACACGGTTTCTCGCAGCAGGACCCTTCGAGCGCATGTCAAAGGATCTAGAAGGCCCCATGCGCGATATTGTGAGGAAATCTTTTCTAAAACAAGTCGGTGGAAGCGACCCGTCGCATCATTCAGACATGGATTCGGCGGCTCTAGGATACTGGGCACTCCATATCACGAGTCAAGAAAGCGATTGGCGGAAGGAGAGAGAAACGAGTCTCAAGCCTATATACGTCTCTTGCTATCGATGTAACAAGCGAGAACAGAAAGGAGGAAATCACACAAGAATCTGAATGGAGTTGCCAAGAAGACCGTCAGCTCAAGACACGTCAAACAGACAATCACAGTTCAACAGCATCATTGCCCCCCCCCCCCGCCCCCCCCCCATCTGCACCAAAAAAATCCTCCACAAACGGGAGTGCTTTACATCTATTCTGGACAAGATATCATGGAAGCACGTCTTGCATCTGCCATGAACAATGTATGAGTTTCTCTTGGAGACTTTAACCGTAGAGACGTGGGGATGCGCTGTTGTGGTGGTGTGGGCTTACGTACGTACCTACCTACCTACCTATGGTGCGTGTACGTGTACATACATGCATTGCATCATCATGCTGTCGGTATACGGCGGATAAGTATACGAAAGAGTAAAGCTAGGTATGGATGCCTACATATTCGTTACATGATGAGCTACTGAGTTACTTGATGCTCTTATATGTGTCAATACCTACTTCATTGACCCATGCAGGCAAGGTGAGCAAGGCAAGTTGCCAAGTAGGTAGACAGTCACATTGATTCAAAAGCATCACAATCAGCCTCGCAGCAGCGGTGGAAACTCGTATGCGTATCATTCTTCCTTCCAACAGCTCATCAGTCTATCCACTCCTATTCCCCGTTTGTCAAAATCATCTCGACGTTGAAAAGCGATAGAGTGCCGACCCGAAGCTACAAAGACGGAGGAGCACAAGACACGGGTGTCCGTCTCCCCTCGCTGCAACGCCGTTTCCAAGGCAGACAGAAGAAAGAAATCGCAGACCCAGCTCATGCCACCGGTTGCTCTCGGCCAAGACAAGAAGAAAACGGTCATGCCAAAACAAAAATTCATGCAGCGTTAATACGTGCCAAGCCACTTTTTTTATTCCTTCCCAGCCTCTGAACATCATTGGAGTAAACCGTCCGGATAAGTAGACACAAGTACTCAAGGAAAAACACAATGGCTTCAAGCAAGCCCTCAGGCAACAGCAATCTTTCGTGTCCTAGCCGTGACGCCACATCCGCTATGCTCCGTAACAGAAAATAGGGAAAAAAACAAAACAACACGATACCAAATCAAGCCTTGCATCTGCAAAAAAAGAAAGGACAAGGTGAAATAACAAGCGGTAAATGGACAGGAGAAGCAAAAGGATAGCCCGGCTCGTTCAAACCAGCTGCGGGAAGAGGTAAAAAGGACGTATACGTAGGGTTGCATCGGTCATCTGAATGAAGTGGGCAAAACTTGTATGAAGACGTAGAAATGGTATCGGCGGGGTATCATTGAGAAGTGAGTATCGAGTCTGTAAAGGCACTGGACTTGGTTGCAACCGGGGTATCATGAGTGGCCACCGTGGACGGCTTGCATGGGCGGAGCGTGATGGGTTGCCAAAAGTGCAGCAGTGCTGGCGGGTATGTTTGGTGAGCCAAAGATGTTGTTCGAATCCCAGCCTTCCTCGCTCAGCACGCTCAGGTAGCCTTCGCCGACCTTGTCACGCAGGGCTTCGATCTTGCGACGATAGAGCTCGCCCTCGGCGTCCCAGTCCTGCTGCTGGATATCGCTCGTGTTGAAGATGCGGTCGGCGTGGGCGGCACCATTCGCATGGCCATTCTCCGGAGAGAAGCCGCCGCTACCACGTTCGTGGATTTTGGGATATGTCATGTGAGGCGAGGGCGGCTGCGTTCTTGACGCTTGGGAAATGCGATAGTGGCCGTCCATGGAAGGGTCAATAGGAGAGGCAATGGGAAAGCTCGGGCTGCGCACATCGATCGACGAGGGCATTGGCGTCTTATCACTGGCTGGAACCTCGACAATGCGTCGCTTGGTGTTCCTGCGGCGCCGCGTCGAGGTCGTGTTGATTTCGCTGGCGATGGCCTTTGGCACGGGCCGTTCCTTGCGTAGAACGGACGCCTCCTTGACAGCGCTGTAGACGACGTTGGGCTTGCTTACATCGACGCCTCGCATCTCGGCCCCGATCGGCTTCACCACGGGGACCGACTCGGGAATCGGGACTCGGTCGACCAGCACGCGCTTCTCCGCAGAGCTGGGGGAGGAGCCGTCAATGACAATGTCCTCGGTGTAGCCCGGCGTCATGCGGAAAAGGTTGAAAATGGTCAGGCGGTAATCCTTGTGGGTGCGGGTAAAGGGGTTGCCCTCGACCCAGATCTCACGAATGTCCGGAATTCCGGTCAAGCGTGCGAGCTCCTTGGGGTCCGTAAGCCGGTTGTCTCTAAGGTCCAGCCTTTCCAAAGGGTACAGCTTCTCGATGCCGGCGAGAGATTGCAGTCTATTGGCCCGCAGGTTGAGAGCCGTAATGGCTGGAAGGGGGTTTCGGGTCAGGGAGTGCAGAGAGTCAATCATGCAATGCGAGAGGTTGAGGGCGCGGAGAGCCGTGAGGGTGGAGAGGCTGTCCGGGATCTGGCTGAAGAGGTTCGATGACAAGTCGAGAGAGAAGAGGGTGTTGGACAGAGGAGCCAGACTGGACGCGGGAATCGACGTCATGGGGTTATCGGCCAAGCTGAGGTGTCGCAGGAAGCGCCACTTGGAAGAGGGCAGGATCATGTTGCCGAGGAGGTTCGCAGAGCTGCCTCTGGCATGGTGATGGTACCACGAGTCCGACAGGCTGGAGTTGGAACTACCGGACCCTGAGCGCCGAATCCTCTGCTGGGATCGGACGTGGTGGTTGGAAAGATTACGAGAGCTGGACGGGCGGGACGGGGAGTTGCTCCTTGGCCGAGAGCCCTTCTTCAAAGACCGCGGCAGGTCTTCCGTAGATTGCCTCCGCAGAGTGCGAGCCGAGCCATCGGACGTGTTACCGTCATCGACGGCAGTCTCGCTGGGCCCCACGGAGCCAACGTGAAGTTCACCCAGAGAAGCCCGAGCGTCGGGCGAGCCGGGAATGGACGCCGATCGCGAGAACTCACGACCGGGCATTGTTGGGCTCTTGCGGGGGCTATGGCTCCCGCTCCACGGTATTGACGGCGACGATTGCGCCTTGGATGTCCGTCGCCGCCGCTTGTCCATATCGTCCAGGACGATGTCGATCAGGATATCGGCGGGGTCCTCAATGCCAGCATGCTTGAGCGTAAGCGAGCGGAGCTGGTCGGCCATGCGGTCCCAGCCGAAGAATTGACGAAAATCAATGTTGCTCACTTCCAGGGCCTGGACGTTCTTGAACACGTACAGGGGGACCGCGGAGTCGAAGGGGAACTCCTCGTAGCCCTTGATGAGCCGGGCTCGCCAATCAGGGGCCAGACGGAGACAGGGGATCTTGGTGAAGGCGGAATACAGATACTTCATGTCGGCCTCAAGGGCGGCCTTTTGGCGCTCCGTCCGGGACGCCGAGATGCTGGAGCCGATGCCAAAGCTGGCCCACAGGGCAGACATGCCAGACATGACGCTCCGGATGCTGGAGACGGAGTGGATGGAGCCGACATCAGAGCTGTGGCTTCTAGACCGCTGGGTGTTGCTGAGAAATGACACGTAGTTTGCAGACGATGAGCTGTCGTGGAGATCCTCCAAGCGAACCTTCATGGGCCCCACATTGATACCCAATTCTTCGAACCGAGAAAGCAGGTAGAACAGGTGGTGGGGGGTGAGGGCCAGCTTTGCCGATTTGACGCCATGCGAACCGAAGTTGAGCGGTCCCAGAGAGAGAGAGCTGGCGAACGAGCTGGAGTTTGAGATTGCGGTCGACGGACGTTCTGGAAACGTCGCAGACTGCGAGAGCGTGGCAGAGCTCGTGCTCTGCGTGGCCCGGTGACGCACGTCGCGCCGCTGAGGCTGGAAGGCGTTGGCAAGGGCCTTTTCGTGTGTGCGCACAAAGGCAGCAAGTTGCTGTTGGCGGAGGTTAGCGCTCTCGCGTCCCAACACCTATTCTGAGATTGCCACAGGGGCCTATGTACCTTGATGAACAACCCTCCGTCTTCTGAATCCATTGCTGTGGTATTCAGGGTCATATAGACATTGAGGGGTAACAAAGAGGAAATGGGTATGATATGTTTCGGAGCGGGCCGGAGGAACGGCAGAAGAGCGTCGTGGACGTTTCGAGCTGTAGAAAAGCGCAACTCCCTTATATCCGCAGCTGACTCGACTCGGGAAATGGATGGTCGATGCCCTCGAGGATTTATTTCGAGCCAAATACTAAAACAAACAGTTAGCCACTGAGGATCGGAAACGGTTGCTTTCCCATAGTACACAACACATCAAAGAATGGGGGAGGAAGTTGTGGGAGTTTAATAGCAGAGGAAGAGAAAACGTGCGTACATCAAGGATGTAACACCACAGAGGGAGAGGGGAAGACTGAACGACAGCTTTATCTGGACCGGTTCACAGAGGCTTGGACAAACTGGCAACGGGGCTATCAAGCAGATTGGTGGATGAGGTGATCAATCTATCATCATGCCACTTCCCTATCTGCCAGCCCGCGGGAGCGCAGAGAGGCCTCGCCAACGTCGTTGCAGCGGTCACAGAGGACAGAAAAGGGACGAAGCACCCGAAGGAGGACACCAGGGCATCAAGGAGAAGTAGCATCGCCACGGTTACTGCTGACTGGCTGCAACGAAGCACAGGAGAATGGCAGCCAAGAGGTGCCAAGAGGGCAGTCGTACGCGAACGGCAGAAGAGGAAGAAGTGAGGGTTTTGTACGAGGCAAGAAGGTGGTGGTTGGACAGTAGGAGGCAGCGGTTTGGCTTCTTTCTTTTTGGGGGGGTGGATGTTGACAGTTCTGAGGGAGAGGAGGATCGCGGCGAGGGCATCTGGCCTGTCTTGTCCTTTTTCTCCGTCGTTCTCTTTCTTTCCTTGGATCTCGATTCCTCGCAGCAGAGGGCAAATAGGCAGGCAGACAGAATGTAGGGAACATGGTCAAAGAGCAGGCAAGCGGAACAGGCAGAACAGCGATAGCAGATGGCAACGAAGCGAGGGAAAAACAAAACAAGAGAAGAGGAAGAGCAATATACCGTGACTCACCTGTCGTCAACAGATTCGGGGGGAGTGGATCGATTGGGCGACGTCTTCGCAGAAGAAGGAACCGCAACGGCAGAATAGGAAATGACGGAGACGAAGGAAGTGTTCTTTTGGAAGTCGAAAACAAACGAGAAGAGGAGGGTGGAAAAAAAAAGGAAGAAGAAACACAGACGATGAGGATCCGGCGGGTTGGTCCGAAGAAGTGAAGGGGGAAAACAAAAGGAACCACCGTTGGTCCGCCCAAAATCTGCCGGCAGATAATATCCAGGCGCTTCTGGCGATGGTGATGGCGATGGTGATGGCGATGCGAGGCGAGGCGAGGCGATGCGATGCCGGCGGCGAAAGTGGCTGCCGTCTTTTGTTGCACTCGGGCGCAAAGCCAAAGCAAACCTGAGCCTGAACCTGAAGCCTTGCAGGCTCGTCTGTCCGTAGTCGCGCAGGTTGAGGGCGGTTGTTGAGCGAGGCGAGGGAAAGGGTCCAGAGGCAGAGAAAATGGAGGGGTCCTGGGATCGAGGTCTCTAATAACAAAGCGAACAAAGCGCGGTGGGCCTGGCGACAGGGCCCTTCTGATGCCTGCTGATTGGGGAGGGTCACAGGTCATGGCGCGGGCTGGGGGGTGGGCCGCAGCAGCGAGCAAAGTACCCGGTACCTCGGCGGTTGGCGGGCAGCCCAGCGCTGGAGCAGCGAGCCCAGTTGCCGCGCTCGGTGCGTGCACCCCCGGCCGGGGAGCCAATCAGTGGCGGTGCCTCTGGCACTTGCTCGCAGGCCGGACGAGTTGCAGTGGTTTGCGGCAGCACTGGACGGTCTGGGGGGGGGGGCGCGGTACAGATACATACATACATGGACGCCAACGATATTACGGCCAGCATCAACGGCGCTCGAGTCAAGGGAGAGAGAGAGAGAGAGAGACCTACCTTACCTACTAGTAGGTACCTGGAGGCATCGAGAGGCATCATCGGGTGTCTCTGTCGCTAGGCCCTCTTCCACCAGCCGAGATCGCGATTTCTGGTATTTTACGCTCGGCTGGATTCACAATCTCGCCCGTCTCCTGTTGCTTAGGACAAAAAAGTTGGAAAATAAAAAAGCAATCAATGCCTTATCTCTACGCCGCCTGGCCCATGAAGGCACTACGGAACGCTGGCGCTCATAACGTCCTCGCTACTATCCCGGCAGTGGCGCCAATCTATGGAGCCCAACGACAGGGTCTCTTCGTCCTGTCTCTCGCGCTGTGTTTCTGTGACCGTTTCTTTCAGAGCCTGATAGAGGATCATTGCTAAAGAGAAATTGCTAGTGTTGGTGCGGTCTTATGCGCTAGGGAAGGGAAGAAAAAGAAAAGGAAGCTGGAAGCCAGGGAGACGGAGAGACGGAGAGAGATAGTAGGTAGTAGAGGGGAAAGAGGTAAAAATAGCGAGCGTGCGCGATAAGCTAGAGAGCGTTCAAGACATTTGTCGACTCCAAGACAACACACGGACGGAACTCGAAAAACCGACAGTGTGTTTTCTCATCCGTCTCCGTAAAATACAGAACAGAGCAGAACAGCACAGGCCCAGACATCTTCGTCGTCGTCGTCGTCGCGGGTGCGGCATGCATGTACACGCTACATCCCAGCGCTACTCACTACCTCACCTGCATGTAGGGAGCAGCTCTCCCCCCAAGCCTCCAATCACTGCGCGGAATGGTGATGTTGATGTTCGGAGGAGGGTCCATCCATCATCATGTGGGGGTTCCCTTTTCTCCCTCCCTCTCTCTCGCTCTCTCTTTTCTCTTTTGGCGCCAGCAGGGATGCATCCTGGGAGGCTTGCAGCGAGGCGCAACCCGTAAAATGACGAGTTTGGCTACGTAAAACACGGCGGGAGTGACGAAGTTGCTGGGCTCGTTTCAAAGTCCGCACGCCAATCGAGCAGCGCCGAGGGGACCTTCTCCATTATATTGTTATTATCCCGTCTCCATATTCTCGGCCGTGAGCCATGGCGCCTTTAGAGTTGTTTGTGAGGCACACACTAAGGTAGGTATCTAGGTAAGGTAGGTACCTATCCAAAGGTCAGGTTGTCATTGCGGCCTGTGCCAGCGCTGAGGTCTGGGCTGGTCGTTCGATGATGCATCACATCAGCTCGCCGAAAACGTCCGGCTCGGGCCCTACGGAGAGAGAGGGAGAGGCACACGACCGCCTCCAGGGCTCCCTTTTTTGTGTTTTCTTGCGGCTGACAACAACAGCGGCCAACCAAGCTACCAGCCCTCCCACCTCCAGTCTCCCAGTCTCCCCCGCGGAGGATCTCAGAGATACTATTGCTAGCACAGGTATTATTACTAGTATTGCTGCAGGCCCCAGCCCGTCGTCGGGTCAGTCTCCTGCCCAGCCCAGTCCCAGCCCAATCTTCGCCTGCTCTGTTCCGACTCATCACTGCTCCTTGCCTCTTTGCTCATGCTCGGCGCACGCCAGCAATCCCAGATCCAGGCCGCTGGCGCTGCTGATTGGGCGAGCGCCCATCCACGGTCATCTTAGGCTCGAGATCGCTGAGGGCCACTCCCTTGCCCTTCTTGCCCTTGGACGCTCACAGCCGCCGTTTGGAAGTTTTCCCTTGTCTCGGCGAGGTTCCAGATACATGTGCTGCTCCTTGTCATGGGACTGGACAAGCCTGGTGGCTGCGAGACATTGCCCAGCTGGCCTCGAGCCGGCAACCCTCTGCATGCCCGCCGTTGACTGGCTGCCTGGTCGACAGGCGCATGTACGGCGTCTGCGTGCTGCGTATTTCTGTACGCATGTGGTTCACTCTCCAGCTCGAACCAGTCCGCAGCTGAAGCAGAAAGGCGCGTGCATGGAGCCAATCCACGGTGCTACCTAGGTAGGTAGGTATTGTACGAGTTTGTACTCCTCGTACGGACCCTATGTTGCTTGCAACATGAAGACAGGTATCACTGCCACTGCTCGGAATGGGCTCGCCGAAATGGCCCCAATCGGCCATCCCCCTCCCCCTGTCTTGTCGGCCGTGCCCATGAGTCGGTTCGTCGACAGGGCCATTTTGCGGAACCCGACAATATCGAGCCTTTTTGCCCGCTACCGAAGAGGAAAAAATTGTTTCAAAGCCCAAGTTACCACGGCGACACTCGAAAATAGTAGGCTGGTCTGACGAAGTGTAAATGCCTGGCCCCATGTGATGGTCCGTACGGAAGGCTAGCAGCCGTCATGGCGTGACCCCGGACAGGGTTCATACTGTAATACGTGCATGATGCTAAACTGTTGGAAGGCTCTACTATCAAAACGAGATTCTATATCAACACCGCCAGATGTCGATGCTAGCAGTGATCCTGTTTCCCGGTTTCTGGTCCTTTTTTTTTTTTTTTCCTTTCTTTTCTTCCTTCTTTCCGTCACCGCGGCGGCAGTTTCAGCGGTAGCCGCGCAGCAAGTCTCGGCATTCGTCATTCACCGAGCTGAACCGCGCCTTGCTCCGCTGCAGCATACCTCGTATGTGCTCACTCTGCAGTCTCAAACATCATACCATGGCATCAGCCCTGTGGGATGTTGTCGAGACGGCCAAGCAATGCGGAAATAGCTGCGTGAATAATAACGGTCGGTTTCTGGCAAGTGGAGGCTTGACATCATCGGCATCTGGCGAGAAGAGGCATCATGACCTTTGTCCTCAGCTGATTTGACCGACTACCCGTCGAGGACGAACCATGACACGCATCACACTGCCATACCAAGAGCTTAGAGCAGAGCCGGAGCGTATATGGTCGGAAAATCCACTTTGCGGCATAAACCACTGTCAAAAGAGATCAAGTTCCCCTAAAAAGGTTTATGGACGAAGTGGGAAAGGAAAAAAGAAGAACAAAGACGTCATTGTGCTTGTTCGTGTTCGTGAAGGGGAAGTGTCCAACGTACGATGATGCTTCTCGGACAGGTTTCCATGATTCTACGCTTCACGTCCATACAAGCTGCAATCTGATATCAACCTCAAGTCATCAAGTCCAAGTC